ACTTTCACTTTCTCTTATGACCGAAACAAAAATTTGTTTCGTTTCTCTACGTGTATCGTTAGAAAGAGAGTAATTAAGAATCGATGGATGCTACACCAATTGTACAAATGCCAATTCAGTCATAATCTCTCAAATTGGCCAATTTAACCCTTAATCTTTTGACAAATTGCCAATGTAATCATTCCGGTCAATTTTGGTCCGAAAACGCTAACGTAATCAATTTTTTAACTTTTTTCTTAATTTATTTTCCTTTAATTTTTATTTTTTTCTTTACTTTTTCTTTTCATTATTACCGGCGAGGTAGGCCTAGGCGAGGGCAACTCACCCTCGCTAGATCCACCGAGGGCTTGACCCTCACGTCCCTCGCCGACCACAATAAAGTATACTATCCCTATGCATTTTATTTTTTTGGTAAGGTACTATCCCTATGCATTTGATGTCGTTACTTAGCTAGAATTAGTTCCATTTAATTTTTTACTTCTTAAATTCAATTAAAAATTTCAATTTCCTTTTAGAAATTGTGTGCGACAACTTACAAACAAAATCTTGGTACAAGGCATGGAATCAAAAATTGATATGAAAGGTTGGTTTTGCGGTAACTTTTGTTTTCTATCGTGCTAAATGATTAGATTCCACATATTAGTTTTCTTTTCGACCTTAATTTTTGTGATTTTACGGTATAAGGGGCATTCTTAACAATTGATTATGGAAATTCTATATTCTGGTTTCCAAAATCCCACACTTGAAATGTGTGGTGAGCATTTCTTTGTCACTTGACGGCACCGTCTTCCTAGCATGGCCTTGCTTTTAGTTGTCCGGATTTCTAACCACGATACGATTAGATCGGATAGGATATGAAATCCAAGGATTTTGTCATATCATATCTACTGTTTGGTGAATCACAGTAATAAAATCGGATGTTGTCTATTTTATCACGTCCGTTGTTTGTTATTTATGACATGTCAACATAAAATGAATCTAAAATTGCATAAACAAATATTGTAAAAATCTCTCATAATTCATTGCCAAATCTAGTAAGAGAGTAAAAATATGATCATTCACTTTTGTGATTACGAAAAGTATAGTACTTGGACTCCCTCGTCACTTTCATGGAACTTTAACATGAACTAAAAAACTACGGAGTCGTGAACCAGAGATACATAGGAGTAGGATACGAGAGAGGGTAGGTTTTTTGAGAAATTTCATTACCCCTCATTTTTCGAGAATTAGAAAGATTCTTTTCAAATTTGAATTTGTTTATTAAAATCTGGGTTCTTCTACCTCATTTTTATTTACTCAATTTTTTTTAAAAATTTTTCCATCTCTTTTTTAATTTTTTTTATTCCCTTCCATGAATCCTTTATAAAAATTTTATCAACTTATAAACTATACTATTATACCTAAATTATGTAATGATATAGATATTAAATATATATTATAGAGTAGAAAGCAATTCAATTATAAATAATATAGGAATATATACAAGCTAAAATTATTTTTTTTGTTATTCTAAATTATCTTTTTAATATTATAATTCAAATATTATTTTATATTTAAATATTAATTTATTTTTATTATTTAAAAGGTTTGTTTTGAGAAAAATAGCTTTTATACCATAAATATGAGAAATCCTATCCATCTTTAACCCACATTTTCCCGGGATAATTTCATTCAGGCTATATCCCCTATATATTCGTCTTTATCCAATCTTGAGCATGAACCAAACACATGATAGGATAAATGTTATCATATCCTGAATTTTAGCTTAACTACCAAACGCAAAGTATAAGGGGCATTCTTAACGATTGATTTTGGAAATTCTATATCCTGGTTGCCAAAATCCCACTCTTGAAATGTGTGGTCATCATTTCTCCATCACTTGATGGCACCATCTTCCTAGCATGGCCCTATTATAAGTTTTCAATTAAGGTGAATGATCCGATCTAATTGCGTAACACTATTTCATCACACTGGAAAATAATATCATGACAGCTAATTCATTTTTCCCCGCCTTAACTTTGAGTAGTCTACTCATCCAAATGCAAAATGCGTCATCAATTTTATCCTGATTTAATTCATGCCGGACATAAACTGTTGCGGAAGTCAAGCGATCGAATAATAAATTTGACAGATTAAGAAAATAAATTGGACACCAGATTTACGTGGTTCGGTCATAGTGACCTATATCCACGAGAAGAGGAGCAACGAATTCCATTATAGATCAAATAATACAATGGAGATTATAACCATACTCGAGTAACTCAAACACTGTAAGTGTTTTTCAAGCTCCAATTATATCCAATAACTCACGTAGTATTTAGCCCTACAATTCCTCGTGAAATGATCTCTCAATCTCACAAAGGAATTGACACAAATTCTTGCCACAAGAATTTAATCGACTACAACACACTCGGATATCTTCAGGGTGTAATTCACAAGTAGAAACTCCTCATTGATGCTCTTCACAAATAACATTCCCTTCTTATTTATAGGCAATAATTGGATTCAAATTAGGAAACATCTTTTTAGGAAATCTTTTTTCAATTAGAAAACCATTCAATTAGAAAACCTATTCAGAATAGAAAACTTACTTGTATTAGGAAACTTCTTTATTCATGCTCAAACTCGAGATATATTTTAACATAAACGATTACGTTCTTAGCCGAATGTTGTAAAGTCATGAAAGGAAACCAAGTGAATAATTTTTCGATTCATTGCGAATTCCATAATCTAATCGTGGATGGCCTAGTTTGACCATACATGAGAAGCAGACTTACTTTGATGCATGAAAGGGAGCTCATGATATGTACCGCCCAATCAGTACACAAAATGACCTGAAGTTCTGGTGTTTCAATCAAGTCCCACCGTATGACGTATGTCTGTCAGTCATAATAAACCAAAGCATGAGTCTTGTAGGATATGAACTGGTGCAGAAGTGGGGGAAGGAAAAAAAATTGAGGTATCCCACGAAAATGTGTTATCTCTTCAATATAGGCCTAAAGAGCTTATCTACAATCTTGATGGAACCTCAAATCTTAGTAGCTCCATAAATGTCACCTCTTGGGATAATTGTCTAAAAAGTCCTAAACCTACTGTACGGCAGCCATTTTAGTTCTAAACCCTTCAATTGTGTTAATTTAATCATAAACCCATTATTTTGATATTTGGCTGGAATGACTACATTAGCAAATCGTCTAAAGTTTTAGGTCTAAATTGGCAAATCATCAAAATATTTAGTACTAAATTGGCACAATTGAAAAGTTTAGAACTAAATTGATAAATCGTCAAAAGGTCTAAGACTAAATTGGCGTAATTGAAAGATTTGGGATTGAATTAGCCTCCGTACAATAGGTTTATGACTTTTTGGACAATTTTTCTGTCACCTCTTGGCTCTTAATATATATAACCAGAAATTGAGAGCGGTGTTTCGCCTGAAGAAGACACGACTCAAATCAATCCTAATAAACTACTGAATTTATGGATACGCCAATCATAAGTGAACCAGCTTGCAAATGAAGCACCTGCTAGTCCCCCTAAGAAAGGCCTTCTAGATTATGACAGTGCGTGAATCATGTGTTTGGTGCAATCGACATCGCCTGAGGGTCCGATTGAAGAGTTTCACCTAGCATCATATTAGAATTAATTTAGGCGTGCCTATAAGAAATTCATAGAAACAATTTGCAAGGAATCAATAGGGGGGTCTATCAATATTCACGTGCCTTTCGAAGGTATGCAATGTATTGAATGTCCCACCAACAATGGTTGGTTGGACTGCTGCTCTGTGATCGACAATAGTTTAACACTAAAGGACCCCAGCTTTTTTAATAGTTTTTCACTATTCCATTGCACCACTGGCTTTCTTTAGAGTGGAAGTGGTTGGTTGGACGATCTTGGCCTACAGTTTGCATCATTGATTGCACTGATAATCATCGGCCTAATTACATCAGTCATGTGCCTCACGATGTGGTTAGCCATATCATTTATTTTTCCTCAAGCAACCTCCTCACGGTTAACACTATATGGGAGTTTGGTGCGACTTCCCTCGTTTGCTCTTCAATGTGGCGTCTTGGGATGTCAACATTTCCCACACGGTTTTCTTCTGCCGATCGTGGAGCGGCTGAAGATTCAAAATGCACAACCCCTCACATGTTGGCAATGGATTGTCGCCAGCAGCATTGTCGATTGCCTATTGATCTAATTTTTGCCATGGCAATTTCCTCATATTAACAACAGAGGTCCTAACGGGCGTACTAAAAAAATATTTCACCCAAAAAGTAAAAGATTTTTCACCAAAAAAATTGATTTTGTTTTTCTTTTTTTATGAAAAGGGGTTCTTTGCCGATTTTTGGATGGAAAATCTGTACGGCTCATGTCAAAAGCAAGTAAAAGACAAGTAATGAAATTTAAAGAACTATAAAGTTGGAGAAGATAACGAAGGATTAAAACTGTAAGTAATAGTGTTATGGTATCAATGGTTGATTGATCGCCACTCCAAGAGTTCACTGTCAGTATTTATATCCCACTTAACAACAGTTACAAACAAATATTTATCACACTAATTACAATTTATGCTACACGTTCCCCGAGTTTTTAGCCGTGCTTTTTGTACTCTAGTAATTTTCATCCAAAACGAAGTTATAACTTCCAAGATCACCGAGATAACCAACTGTCACGTGGCCCTAGAACCGCCACTTGATATTGGAGTCGACACATCATTGCTGTCTTTTAACTCAAACACTCAGCAAAAAAACTGAAGTAGTGGACTAGTGATGAGCTTTGTCGACTGACAACGGTCTTCCTTGATAATCTACTCCATGTTCGTTGTCAATGACTTTACTGATGACCCGTCGATTCTTCAAGTCAATTGCCTTGATGATTAGTTGATTATCCTGACCAAACCTTAGTATAGGCAATTGAGTTCACCACTCATCAGTAATAAAGGTTGGCAATTTTCTAGTGCAAGCACTTCACAAAAAGAGAGGGTTCCTGGCTCCTAATCTATGCCTTCACAAAAATTTTTGGGTACCCAACCACCATCCTTCCAACAGAGGCACTTGAAAGCCAAAGACAAGGACATTGTTCTAGCCTCTCAGCCCAAAACAGGAACCACTTGGCTAAAAGCCCGTGTTCTCCACTTCAGTATCTCAAACTTGCCCTTGCTCACTTCCAATCCCCACGAACTTGTCTCTTTTTTGGAATTCACCTGGTATGCAAATAACAGGAAACCCAATCTCATGACTTCCCGGAACCAAGGTTGTTCTCCACTCCCGTTCCTTACCCATGCTTGCTGAATCCATCAAGCGATCGAATTGCCGCTTTCACACCCCAAAAAGGAAAATAAAAAAGTTGAAGTGGAAGACAACTCAAATCAAACCCAATCAACTGCTCAATTGAATATATGGAAATGACTCAACCAGCATGCTAATGATTAATGAAGCACCAGGGGGCCCCCCAAAGAAACGTGAATCCCATTAAGATTGATTAAGGCGCGTGCACCAAAAGTCAACTTTATCTCAACCATTAAATCATTAGGATCTTACGTGGGGCTCATTAGATCGTTTTTCTCTTGTAATTGGTGGTATGCGACAACTATAAAGCAGTGAAAAGAAAGAAATGAAAATCATCTAGTGTTTCGCACTGGAAACACCGTGGGAATGGGAGAAGGCGAGCAGCAGGCCATTGATGAGCTGATTGCTTCACTTCCCCAAGAGAAAGTTCCAAGCCTTCCTCCTTGTTGCCTTTTCCAAAACTTTTGGTGCCCGATCTTCGTGCTTCCTAATGTTGTCGCGTTCCAGAGGCACTTCAAGGCCAAAGACAAGGACATTGTTGTTGCCTCTGACCCCAAATCAGGGACCACCTGGCTAATGGCCATAGCATTCTCCATTGTCAATCGCTCCCAATTCGACATCTCAAACATGCCCTTGCTCACTTCAAGCCCCCATGAACTCATCCCTCGCTTTGAGTTTGACTTTTTCGTGCATAACTCGAGATTCGATCTTGATGACATGGAGGAACTGAGGCTCCTCTCTACGCACCTCCCTTATTCAAGCTTGCCGGAGTGTGTCAAGCGGTCGGACTGCCGGATCATTTACATCTGCCGGAACCCGTTGGACACCGTGCTTTCCTCTTGGCACTTCTACCTCCAGATGGCGCGATCGGAGGAGTGGCCGGAGGGGTCCTTGGAAGAGCATTTCGAGATCTATTGCCAAGGGAAAACACCGTTCGGGCCCTTTTGGGATCATATGGTGGGGTACTGGAGGGAGAGCTTGGAGAGGCCACACAAGGTGTTGTTTCTCAAGTATGAGGACTTGAAGGAAGATATCGTAGGACCCCTGAAGAAGGTGGCCGAGTTTGTGGGTCTTCCCTTCACTGAGGAGGAAGAGGAGAGAGGTGTGATTGAAGAGATAGCCAAAATGTGTAGCTTGAAGACCCTCAAGGACCTGGAGGTCAACAAATCCGGCAAATTATCTGGTAAATCCATCGAGAAGAGAAGCTTTTTTAGGAAAGGTGAGGTGGGTGATTGGGTTAACCATCTCACTCCTTCCATGGTGGATCGCCTAAATAGCATCATGCAAGAGAATTTGAGCCCCTTCGGGTTGGAGTTCAAATTATGTTGAGTGTTAATTACTTGCAGTTTCGCTATGTCCATCACTATAAATATATTAAAATTGGATGGATTTGCAGTCCTCCTTATTGGTGTACTATAGAGACCAAACAAGTATCTGATATTGTAAACTACTACAATCCCACACTTGATGTTAGTGAACGAGATCACAATCTGCTGTATAGCTCATCCAGGAGCACACTGAAACAAAGTCTGAACACCATCAATAGAATTACGAAACACTTAGACTACTCCCGCAAACAATAACTGGCACCCTGCCACTACAACCCTATGAGATACAAAGTTCGAGATTAATTGATCTAACCAGCAACATGAGTGACAGATAATCCACTTACTGGTAATCCATGTTTTTTTCTTTGTTTTTGAATATGATGGTCCTTTGAGAACTGAATAGGAAATTTGAAATTTGGGGATGAGAGAGACAACACTAAACTATCTTACTGCTGCTACGCCAAGGAGATGTAAAGAACCAACAGTTAAGACTCATTGAGCACATCACTCTACACTCGTGCTAAATCAAACTTGGGCATTCCCTAACCACAAACACGAAATCGGTCGAACCGTAAGTATTGAGCAGAAATACCCATGCAGGTCTAAAACTTGCTCATGCCCTACCAACACAACAGGCAACATTGGAGTCAGTCCCATCCGGCTTATTAAGTTGCCAATTAAGGCAAATGATCCGGTTTAAGTGCGTAATATCAATCCCCATAATGGAAAATCATATCATGAAACCCAATTCATTATTTTCCCGCCTCAACTTTGAGTAGTCTACTCTCAATTTTGTCCCGACATGGTTCATGCTGGACATAAATGATTATGATACAAACCGAACGTCGCAAAATCATGAAAAGCAACCTATCGAATCAATTTTCGATTTCTTGCGAATTCCCTAATCTAAAGTGGATGGCCTGGTTTGACCATTTGTGAGATGTGGACTTACTTTGATGTATGAAAGGTAGCTTGCAATATGGTAATTCTATAATGTTGTTTTTGTTAGTAACATTGTGCGACTACTAACCTGAACGACAAGTACATCAATGGTAATTTGCTAACAATGTAAACAACTTACGAACATCATGTGTGATAAATTATAGATTTTTTTAAAGAAATTTATAGCTAGAAACAAAACTCCGAGGTAAAATAATAACTTACTGGTGAAATTAAGATCTTAACACCGTAGATCCACTTACAAGGTTGTCAGTTGTCAGTTACAAGAGGAGCAAGAATTGTACGGATTTTGAAGAAATTTACTGTTAAAAAAAATAGGGTTAATACCACGAAAAACCCTAAACTGGTACACTTGTGACACATTTACCCCAAACTATTTTTTTGACCATAAAAAACCCCAAACTGGTACACCTGCGACAATTTTACCCCGAACATACCACAAAAAACCCCAAACTGGTACACATATGACAATTTTACCCCGAACTAATTTTTAATATTATTTTTAATTTTTTTGAATTTTTTATTCTTTTCTTTTCTTTTCTTTTCTTTTTCTTCAATTTCAACCTCTGGCCGGTCGCCAATCCGGCGACCGGCCAGAGGCGGAAGCCGGCGAGGGCCGCCCTCGGCAGCTGCTGGCGAGGGCTGCCCTCGCTCGACTCGGCAAGGGCGACCCTCGCCGGATCTAGCGAGGCGGCCCTCGCCGGCGTCGGCTGACCCGGATCCGGCGAGGCGACCCTCGCTGCGTCGGGCGAGGCTTCCACTCGCCGGGCGGGCGAGGGCTTCCTCGCTGCGTCGGGCGAGGGCCGCCCTCGCTGGACGGGGCGAGGGCTGTCCTCGCCGGCGCCGGCGAGGCGACCCTCGCCCGACTCGGCGAGGGCGATCTCGCTGCGTCGGCGGGCGACCTCGCCTACGTCGGGCAAGGGTCGCCCTTGCCTGGGCCGGCGAGGACGGCCCTCGCCGATGCCGGCGAGGGCGGCCCTCGCCGGCAGCGGACGAGGGAAGCCCTCGCCCGTTACCGGCGAGGGTCGGCCTCGCCGGATCTGGCGAGGACGGCCCTCGCCCGACGCCGGCGAGGGCGGCCCTCGCCCGACGCAGGCGAGGGAATCCCTCGCCCGATACCGGCGAGGGTCGCCCTCGCCGGATTTGGCGAGGACGGCCCTCGCCCGACGCCGGCGAGGGTGGCCCTCGCCGGCTTCCGCCTCTGGCCGGTCGCCGGACCGGCCACCGGCCAGAGGTTAAAGATGAAGAAAAAAAAATAAAAGGAAAAAAATAAATAAAATAAATAAAAATTCGAAAAAAATAAAAATAAAAATATTAAAATTTTAATTCAGGGTAAAATTGTCACATATGTACCAGTTTGGGGTTTTTTGTGGTAAGTTCAGGGTAAAATTGTCACAGGTGTACCAGTTTGGGGTTTTTGATGGTCAAAAAAATAGTTCAGGGTAAAATTGTCATAGGTGTACCAGTTTGGGGTTTTTTATGGTCAAAAAAATAATTTGGGGTAAATGTGTCACAAGTGTACCAGTTTAGGGTTTTTCGTGGTATTAACCCAAAAAAATATTTGCCGGTGTAAGCAGTAACTTGCAATAAAATTTATTAACTTACCGATATAGGTCTGTCTATAAGTTAATTAGTTACCAACAAGGTAAGGAATTTGTCATTTCAAAATAACATCGAATTTAGTACTCTACTAATGAAACAAGCAACTTACTACCCGTTTTACTGTAGTAAGTTGCGAACAATTTGAGGTATTTACTAACACCAAATTAAACAGTGAATTATTAAACTTTCAAGAAATCTAGCATTGAAAGTAGAACCCTACAACTGAAGTTAGTAGGGTAACAGACAAATTAGTAACTCAACATGCTAGTGTATGCTTGCTCTTTGGATAGTTGGTTACTGACCAAGTAAGGAAATTACTAACGTCTAAATTTTGAGTCAATAATAAGTTAATAGACTGTTTACAAATTTGCCATTCTAATTAAATCTTACAGCTAAAGTTAGTAACTCACCAATCGAATTAGTGACTTCCCAATAATACATGCTTGCTTTTTGGGAAGTAACTTACCAACGAAGTAAGGAAATTACCAATGTCTAATGCAAGAGCAAGATATCAAGCTAATTATTTTTTGGGTCATTGCAAACGAGATATTACTAGTGAAATAGTTATATACAAACGACTAATCAACTAGCTTAACACTTTGAACAAAAAAAAAACACTAGCTTAACACTACTTGTGATACTTAATACCAGTTCGTAACACATTGTCACACCCCAAATCCTACAGGAATAGCGGTAGTGACAGGATTCAGGGTGTGAAACGCCAATCCTTTTCTTCACCTGAAGGACGCAACTTCAAATCATATAAAAAAAAAAAATCCAACTCCCAAAAGCCCCCATCGATATCGCTCGCGCTCTATTGGCCGCTAATAGAGGAACCTAAAAAGATTGGGAATAAAAGGGGAGGAGCAACCACATCTCAGTGTGTCACGCCTCGAATCCTACGAGCTCATAACATCTCGCTAGGTCAATAAGAATACGACGTCCAAGGCCTCGTCACCGACCCAAATGAATCACTAACGATTAAGCACATGTGAAAGCGAATTAAAACACCCAAACAACATTTAATGAACGGGATAGCAAAGGAGACATCAAAAGCATAAAGCAAGAAACCACTTTTATAAACATATAATTAATTACAAAAGGAATAATATACAAGCCTAACTAGGGACCACGACTACGGACCATGCTCAAGCAAAAAGGATCGAGTGGTTGGGTTAGCTTAACTTTTCTACCAAAAGAGGGCGCTCCATAAAGACGGGGTGACTAAGCCTATCGTCAATCATTGCGGTACCCCGGAGGCGTCCCCGAATCCTCCATGTCGTCATACGGCTCAGGATTCGACTCCTCAGGACTGTTGTCAGGATCGATGACGGCCCTGTCGGGAGAATCTATCTCCATGGGGTCTCACTCCCCTACACCATCATCAGAGGAACATCAAATCCTCGAAGTGAACCATGCAACTCATCCCCATCTCGATAAAACTGATAAAGTTTCTTCAAAAAACAATCATAGAAAATCAGAAAAATCATAGAACAGAACAACATCAATCAGGAAATCACATAAAAGAATATAAAGTCATTATTCCGGATTTTGATCCAATCTTACAAAGTGATTTTCACCTAGCAAACAAAATTCGATTCAAGCATACAACCTATCAAATTGAAGCTCAGGAAGTACAAATCAAATCTCTAGTTGAACACTTTTTCAGATTCCAACATTTTTGAGCTTGAATCAGTACTGGAAGCATGCAGGTTCTTCAGTACACGATTTCACGGAATAGGATTTAAGAGCGCCTATCTTGTTCAATGAAATTGCTGAGCTCAAACGAGCTATTTAGGCCATCAAGGAACTCTAGAATGGTGCCAAAAATAGCTCCTGATATCTACGTCACAACACAAGACAACCAAAGTGAGATGGTGATCCGACGACAAAGAACAAACAAGAAGTAAAAATGAGCTTAAAATGGAACTTCAGTGGCTTTTCCGACAGAGGCCGGCCACCACGGTCTCAGGGAGCCTCCGGGGGACGTCGGAGGTGTGGTGATCCACCGGAGATCGGCCGGCGTGGGCGGTAGAGAGCCCCGGCCGAGAGAGAGAGAGAGAGAGAGAGAGAGAGAGAGAGAGAGAGAGAGAGTTTAGTGAGAGAAAGTAAATCTGAAAAATGGGACCCTCTTGATTTTTGGAGGGAAAAGCTTATATATCCCCTAAGTTTAAATGCTAGCCCTTGGATTGATCAAATAGCTCAAATTACTTTCTTAAGAGTTCAGAATATTTCTTAAGGGCTAAGGATAGATGACATGACACAATGGATGCTTATGATGCACTCTTAATGGATGGCCATGATTGTTTGCTTAATCCCTAAGAAAATTTGCTTATCCTTTAAAAAAATTGGTTAAAATTTGATTATATAGTCATTTTTGTAATTTCACTAGAGGTATTTTAGTAATTTTAGGCACAAAGGGACCGATTGGCCTTGACTGGTAGGAATGGACCACCGACCGCCCAAATTTTGGCTGAGAAACAGCCGGCTCGATCAGGCCTATTCAATTCCGGTCAAACCGGGTTGAACCGGTTCGGTTCTTAACTCAATTTTGCTCCAATTTCATGTAATTTCATCCATATCATGATTGATTGACCCAATTGAATTGAATTTGATTAAATTGGATGGAACCAATTTGAAATATAAGTACAAATTGATTAAATTTGACTTGTTGGCCCAATTGTTCTTTAATTTGAGTTAAATTGAATTGCCAAGTTAGACTAATGAACTTAATTGGAGTCCAATTGGCCAAATTGAACTTCAATTCATCAAATTGGATGTTAATCTACAATGGGTCAAGTTGAATTGCACTAATTGGACCAATTACTCTTGGATTTTTCAATCATTGGATCACTAGATTGGTCAAATTGACTCAAATTCATATGAATTTTTCAAAATTGATTTCGAATTTGAGTTGTATATAGGAAATTAGGCTCATCTGTGGCTTAATTGCGCAAATCATAAACAACAGATCAGAACCCCTGATTATGGCTCAAATTGGGGGCTTTCACTCTTGGCTTGGAATTCTAAGATTGATTTGAAATTTGAATGTAATATGACCTCTAGATCAAATGTCATGAAGGAAACTATCCTAAAAAATGAATAGAAATGAAGTAATTTCATTTTTTATCGATTTTAACCAAATTTCGTAAATTGGGGAAAAGTTTATTCTAAACCGATTTTTATAAAATTGATGATGCCAAAGTAAAATGAAACTGAAAATGAGATGATTTAGGGTTTTTGAATTTTTTTCAATTTTTTGAATAAAGTGTTGACCAAAAGTCAACATTTTAGTGATTTGTCACCAAAATGCCAATTAATTGGTCAAACTTTGAATTTTTTTGAAAATTGATAACGCAAAAGTTAAATTGACATTATTTTGGGATTTTTTTGTGTAAAAAATCAAATTTTAACTTTGGGTTGACTTTTAGTCAAAGTTTAACAAAAAAAAAGCCAACTCAAAAGTCAATTTTTTTGACTTTTTGAAATTGAAATGCAAAAAGCTAGAAAATAAGAGGCTAATGCTAATTCAAATGCTAAATGACTCTTTTTTTTATATTGAGAATCGGGTTCTATCGCGATTAGAAACCCTAATCTCAAGTTTTACATTTCAAGACGTATCAGCTAAAAATCAAGTGTCAACACAAACCAGCTTGCAAAAGAAAGGTTTTCATTATTATTTAATGGGAAAAATCACAATCCATTTGGCAAAACAACATAATGGTGATTTTGTAATGCGGTGGTGCTAGTAAAATTTTGTAACTGGTAACCTATTCGATAGGTACATCCTGAAAAACCCAGCCTGTTTTTATCCATTATTTCGGTGGTAAAAACTTATAAACTACTTTCCGCGCCCACTTGTTTGATTATAATGCACTTTGTGATCTACTCCTACATATATTACATTTGAGGATGTTAAACATGTAACTCCACGAGGATGTCGCTATCAACTTGACTTCACTACTTGCGAAATTTTAAAGCATCTTCGTGATATGCTGCCAGATATGAGAGTGGTAAAATCCGTATGCCATTGATCAGGTACGAAGTACTTGCCCAGCCCACTTGTAAGACTTCGAAGCATTTGCTTTTCTTACTACTCTAGTAGTAAAACCTTAATTAACTGCCAAATGTGGGGTGACAATGTCATTATCTTGTTGGTAATTGACGGGCTCACTTATTAAATCTAAAATTACTTGGTACTCTACTATTGGATACAAAGAATTTTACTAGGAATTTGTATTTGCAAAATAGTTATTTTGTTCATAAGTGAAGCCGTTAACCAATACTACAAGTAAAGTACATAAGCAATTCGTAATCTACTAGTAGAAATATGCTCCCACTTGTAAAAGCGAATGGTTGTTTGTAATTTAAAGGGTAATTCAACCAAATAGAGCGATTATTTCATTAGTGTATGTCACTAACTTATAGAGGCAAAAGTGTCAAAAAAGTCCTAAACCTTTTGCATTTGTGGCAATTGAGTCCTAAACCTTTTTCTTTTTTGTGCCAATTCAGTCCTAAACCTTTTGCATTTGTGCCAATTGAGTCCTAAACCTTTTTTTGGTGCCAATTGAGTCATAAACCTTTTATATTGATGCCAATTCAGTCTTAAACCTTTTGCATTGGTTCCAATTGAGTCCTAAACCTTTTTTTGGTACCAATTGAGTCCTAAACCTTTTGCATTTGTGCCAATTTAGTCTTAAACCTTTTTTAGCTAAATTAACCGGAAGGACTGAATTGGCACCAATACAAAAGGTTTAGGACTGAATTGGCATCAAAAAAAAGGTTTAGGACTCAATTGGCACCAATGCAAAAGGTTTAGGACTGAATTGGCACCAATACAAAAGATTTAGGACTGAATTAGCACAAAAAAAATGGTTTAGGACTCAATTGGCACCAATGCAAAAGGTTTAGGACTGAATTAATACCAAAAAAAGGTTTAGGACTAAATTGGCATCAATGCAAAAGATTTAGGACTTTTTTGATATTTTTCCCAACTTATAGATGTTGGTGCTCGTGAAATTCAAATAATGTAAATACTCTACTAAGAATTTTTAACGGTTTAATAGTTATTTTTTTTCTAAGTTACAACTGCTAATTAACCAAGACACTAGTAAAGTAAGCAATTCGTAATCTGCCAACGGAAAAAATGCGCCCACTTGTGAAAAAGAACCATTTTTCCTATTCTGCAAGGGTATTTCAACCAAATAAATCGATTGTTTTCTTAGTAAGTTACTGCTAAATTCAATGTTGCTACTTGTAAAGTCAAAACAGTGTTAATAATCTACTGAAATAGTGCTAAAATACTTATTTTTTGCATAACTTACAACCATTCACCGACATTACTAGTAAAGCATTATGTAACTCAGTAATCTACCAGCAAAAATACGTGCCACTTGTAAAAGCAAACGATTGTTCGTATTGTAGGAGGGTATTTCAACTTGGTAAAATTGATTATTGGTTAGTATGATACAAATAAACGTCATTACTCGTCAAATCTCGTGACAATGTTAATAATCTGTTAAGAATTTATAGTAGTGAAATATTTATTTAGCTCCTAAGTTATCAGTTAACCAACACTAACAGCAAAGTAGGTAAATCAATTCGTAAATCTTGTAGCGGAAAAACGCATGCACTTGTAAAATTTAAAACAATTGGTAATGTATTATTAAATTTGAGGACGTTAAAATTGATATTTCATTATTAACTGGCTAGTCACTTTTTACTTACCAACAATATTTCAAATTCACTATCGGTTATTCGAATTTACCATGCACAGAATAAATTTCTGTTCCGTGGCGCACACAATGTTTAGAAATGTGCATTACAATGTTAATCATGTGTTTAGTGCCCTCTTTGACGTCACCTTAGCCGACAAAAGTGTTTCGCCGAATATCATGCAATAATTGAGCCCAGAATAATTAGGGGTTTGTGATCATTCTTCGCCTGTATAAAGCAGCGAAAAAAAAATGAAAAGCTAACGCCCACTAGCTACAAAAAGATTAGTGCTTCACATTCATCTGCCTGTTTCCATTCTTACTCAAACATCAATGGCACTCCAGCAACTTTCTTCGCAGTCCGCCATCGTAGGTACCGAAGAACATGACCAGGAGGCCATTGACGAACTAATTGCTTCACTGCCCCAATGGAAAGGCGTATTTCGTCCTTTCCAGTCCCTCTACCAAAACTTTTGGTGCCCGACCTATGCGCTTCCCAACGTGATCGCGTTCCAGCGGCACTTCCAAGCCAAACACAAGGACATTGTCCTGGCCTCTCAGCCCAAATCAGGGACCACCTGGCTAATGGCCCTAGTGTTCTCCGTTGTTAACCGCTCCCGCTTCAGCATCTCCAACACGCCCTTGCTCACTTCGAACCCCCATGATCTCGTCCCTAGCTTCGAGTTCCAGCAGTTCGGAAGGAACCCAAGGCCCGACCTTGATGGGATGGCGGAGCTGAGGCTCTTTGCAACGCACATCCCTTACCCATCCTTGCCGGAGTGCGTCAAACAGTCGGACTGCCGGATCATTTACATATGCCGGAACCCATTGGACGCCGTGGTTTCCTCTTGGCACTTCTACCTCGAGACAGCGCGGTCGAAGGAGCAGCCAGAGTGGTCTTTGGAAGAGCACTTCGAGATCTATTGCCAAGGGAAAATATCTTTTGGGCCCTTTTGGAATCAAATGATGGGCTATTGGAAGGAGAGCTTGGAGAGGCCATACAAGGTGTTGTTCCTCAAGTATGAGGACTTGAAGGAAGATATTGTGGGACAGCTGAAGAAGGTGGCCGAGTTTGTGGGGCTTCCCTTTACTGAGGAGGAAGAGGAGGGGCGTATGATTGAAGAGATAGCCAAAATGTGTAGCTTAAAGACCCTCAAGGACCTGGAGGTCAACAAGTCCGGCAAATTACAAGGGATGAATATCAAGGTTGAGAACAGAAGCTTTTTCAGGAAAGGCGAGGTGGGTGATTGGGTTAACCATCTCACTCCTTCCATGGTGAACCGTCTCAATAGCATCATCCAAGAGAAGATGAGCCCTTTTGGCTTGGAGTTCAAAACATGTTGAACATGTTTGTTGCTTTCGAACCCTTCTTTCTCTATGTACAAACAGAAATAAATGAAATCAAATTCGAATGGTTTTGCAGTCGGCTTTTCTTGTCTTGCTTCTCCTCGTTATTTGGTTGGTGTAGAGAAAGAAAAGGTACAATTCCCGATTGAAGAAACCTTGAGTTTCTCTGCGCTAATGACCAAACATGTAGGGATGGAAGCTGATGAGTTGCATTCTTTTCTTTGGTTAAATCATTCTTGATCTGCAATCTGAATATATAAACTGCTGAATTCTACTTCTTGTGTCCCAAAGTTACACCATTGACCAACGAAGAATTGCGGATATTCGACAAACAATAATCCCAATACATGAGTATGAAGAGTTCAACTGCTCGGTTTAAAAAAACAAAAATTTATCGGTACCGGTAAATCAATGAAAAAGTTAATAAGTGTCAAAAAAAACTGTGGGTCAAAAAAGGTATCGATCACCCATTTTTAGGTAATTTCTTTGTAATTAACCGACAATATTATTGAATTACAATTTATTTATTTTTTTATAGTTTACAAATTAAGAATTTTTCTTATCTTTTACCAGCTTTTATTTGTTTTTCTTACCAACGGCTTAAATTTACAAACTCTTATATGGGTTTACTAATCTTTATCTAATTGACATACTAATTATTGAGTCACTTTTCAATATTTATATGATTTTTTTTTATTTATTGACATTTGTTATCATTTATCATCTCCTTAATATATCCTCTCTTATATAAATTTACCAACATTTATTTATGTGGTTTATCGGCCTTTCTCCTATTAGACTACCACCTAAGTTTAGTTCACTAATTCTCGTTTGAGTTGCTTACCAACATTTATTTGGTTTTTCATTTTGAAAGTTTAAAACTTACTACTGAGTTACCAACTTCCGTTTGTCTTTATTACCAACACGCTTTATAAACCAACTCTTTTTAGTAATAATCAACCCTTATTAGAGCGATTACCATCTTCTATCCAATTAAATTATCAATTAATTTTGCGCCACCGGCCTTTAATTTTTTTTTTAAAATTACTAACTTGTCTTTTACTGACTTTCTTACCAACGCCTTAAATTACTAATTTTTATATGAGCTAACTTCCCGACTTTTCTCCTATTAAGTAATTAACTAGTCTTGGAGAAACAACTTTCATTTCAGTTACGTATCAATTGTATTTTTTTTTTATCAATTTTCCTTATCGTTTAGCAACTAGATGGAGAGTCGGCCGGGAGTGATCTGTGGAAGAGCATTGGGAGGCCTTTTGTGAAGGGAAAACAGGGCGTTGTTCTTGACGTAGAAGGACTTGAAGGAAGATGTTGTGGGACACCTGAAGAAGGTGGCCAAGTTTGTGGGGCTTCTGCAGACTCTGCTTGAGATGCCACCGATCCTCACTCTTTCTCTACGCAGGAAGAGGAGGGAGGTGTGACTGAGGAGATAGCCGAGATGTGCAGCATGAAGAACTTAAGGGCCCGGAGGCCAACTAGAACAGCAAGTTTTCGTCGACCTTCAAGGACAGTAAAGCTTGTCTAGGAAGCGCGAGGTGGGCGACTGGGTCGACCATCTGAGTCCTTCCACGGCGGACCGCCTAAATAGCATCGCGGAAGACGAAATGAGTCCTCTTGGGTTACAATTCAAAGACATGCTCATGCTAAGACAGTTCCCTTCGACTTCAACACCGCTCATTCCATTCCCAGTTCTCACGTTGTTCTCTGTCCGGACTTGGATTTGAATTGAGAACCCTCCATCTTTTCAGATCCAGATGATGTTACAAGATTTTCTTGAACTTAGTTGGATCTTTCCCCTGGAGCAGGGTTCCAACTTCTGTGCACAACTTGAACTTCTTTTTGCGATCTACATCATCTTCAATTTATTAAAGTAAGAGGAACAAATCAAGAGGAGAATAAATAAATGATAAAGACCATGTAGATCACAACAACCTTACAACCAACATAAGCGTTCGGCTAAGCATCTGGTAATGGTAGTCTATCGCCTTCTTCATTTGGCATCTACGTTATATCAGTTAGGAAATTTAATTAATTTACTATTTTTCAGGAAATAGCAGCACTTGAGAATAGCTCATTCAAGAACCAAAAAAAAAAAAAAAGGGGAGAACATTAGTAGATAGCTTACAAGTACCGCTCGAGCTACGTGAGATAACACGAGACAACGGAACCCATTTGCTGACGGCGACGTAGAAAGAATGAATCTAATTATCAGCAGTGGTCGCCTGCCAGTTAGAACAAATAGGGTAGGTTTGACAGGCGAATGCGATTGATTTAGATTATATTTTCTCTTCTTCATTTTCGCAGGAAATCAAAGGCAATGTATTTGCAGAGATTGACCCCAAAAATTAATACATAGATAGTGGTGGGCTCGAAGTCCTTCTATTGGACCAAGGCCCGAGAAAGTGAATGGTTGCTGGCCCGTATTGTAGCCCATCAGAGTTAGCTCAGTTAGGGACGGCGACAGGTCGAATTGAATCAAGTCTTGATATTCCATATTTCCAACTAACCATATTACTGAAATATACCCTTATGTTTTTTTTTAAATATACGAAGCTATTTAGTTCATTATACTACTCCAATTTCGAATCATTATTTCAATTTATTGGAAGTGTCTGGAAAATGGAATAAGTAATCGAGTTTCTTTTGGAGTTTCCATTGGCCTAATCAAAGAGGTTCAAACCCATCCAAGTTTGGGATGAGTTCAAATTGTATTCGGCACTAGACAATGCCCAGGCCTAGAAATCATTATTTAAGGCTGCTCACAAAATGATTGAGAAGTTGTAGGATGATCTATATAAGATCGATGAAACGGGACGTAAGAAGTGAATTGCTTGCTTAGGCCCGTTTTGTCTCTCCTACGTGGTGCTAATATTAACTAAAGCACTACAACGACGTTGTTTTAGTCCAAATCCTAATTTTTACACCAAATCTCAATTAAATTAAAATAAAAAAGTCCAAAAGTTTTTTAAAAGAAAAAGACAAACTAAAAAACCAAAAAAATGGCCTACAACCTCACCTGGTGGGTCGACACAATTGCCAAAAAGGGACTACGGTGTTGGGGCTAACGATACCACCTAGAGGGGGGTGAATGGCTTAAATAAAGATTATGACAAACTTTTGCGAAAATGAATAACCAATCCTAGGAAATCAGCTGAGAGTGATAATATCAAGTGAGTGTGATGCAATCAGTAAAATATAGATGATAAAAAGCAAGTAAAGATAGTATATAGCAAATTATAACAGTTCAGCTTTATCCCCAAGTTTATATCCGATCTCCAAATTAAGACGCACAATGCGGGCTGCAATCCACTAATAATCATCAAGATAAGTTATAACCAAAAAATATTGATCCTATTAATGATAGATCACACTATCAAGACTCACATACTGCTATCTTTCGTGTACACTTAATCTTATCATGATTACAGAGTAGCAAGAACCCTACACTGGAAATTTCAATTGAACAGATCCCACTATTGATCAGTAGAGAGAACAACAATAGGTGATGGCTTTCTCTATTTTTCGTCCAACCTTTTGAGCTTCAGTGATCCTCCTTTATATAGACATCTTCAATCTTCCTATTAGAGATAGTCTCGAGGAGCAAAGACCCGTTGAGAGTCGTTAGAAGCTGTTTGTCCAAGAATGGGATTGCCCACACAATCTTTTTCCTGGACATCAGCATGATTTCCCAAAATGAAGTCGGCTCATTCTGTCACATTGTCGGGTACTTTGACAATCTGACCAAAGCTATCAACTACTCTCTGACGATTTTTGGTTCTTCTATTGTGGTGTTTCTAGCTTCCAATGGCCATAATCTTTGTCTCTCATGATCATCTTTGATGAACATATCAACAACATCACCAATGACTCGATATCAGTACACATCCATGCTCATAATTAGCAAGTGCACATTATCACCAATCTCTTGATGTTATCCACGAACAAACCGTAAGAATAACTTGTGATTCTACTTCCAATAATACTTCTGAGTATATCAGCTTCCAAAAACTCCAGAGATTGGCCATGGTCCTTCCAAATCCTTAACACCTCGTCGTGTCTGACTTGTTCACCTCTGGTCGAAATCTACATCGTTGTAGCTAGTCTTCGTTGAGCTTTGCAAGCAATCATGACATCACAATCTTTCAAATATCACAATGAATATTTGCATATACCATAATAGATATTACACCAAGTATGGTTTTGGAATCATCAAAATTTCATAGGGATGTTTTCCAATATATGGGGGTTGCCGAGTCTCGGCGATGGCCAATGACACTCGCCCAGATCTGGGGGAGGGAAGACGAAAACAAAGATCTCCTTACTTTCAATGGCAATTGCAAAAGTGAGCAAATTTCTTCACCATCTGTAAAACAATGGCTGCTTTTCTTGCATTCCCCTCGCCACCGCCTCCTCTACTTCCATGCGCACGCTCGGCCTTCGTCTCTGTAGAATCCTCTCCCAAAAGCATTTATTGATCGCTATTTCTTGGTCTCCAATTTTGTTGCTTTCCTTCGCGAGCGTCTTTGCCAGCCAAAACCACCATTTGAACGGTGAAGACCCTCACCTGGGGCGATGAGGGTCGCTAGCCATTGCCGAGGCCCCAGCAACCCCCACTGACCCTTCCCGTGATGGTGGGGCAACCGCCGCCCCACCAAGTGACGTTGCAATCCCTTTTTTGGGTTTTTGGAGTCTCTATCTTTTTCTTTTGGAAAAAAAAATTAGAAGGCTAAGTAAGAGGGAGAAAATTAAAAAGATAAAATAACGTCAGCATTTTCGATTAGCCAAATTAAACAGAGTTAACGGAATTACTTGATTGCACAAATTTGACAATTTTTAAAACCCGATTGCGCTTTTTGAAAGTTTTAAGATTCAATTGCACTTTCGTGATAAGTTTTAAAACATAAGATGCACTTATCCCTTATAAAAAATATTAAGAAAGCCTTCGTCCTATGTAAAGAATGAGTTCATTATATTAAAAGAAAGGATTAATATCACGAAAAACCCTAAACTGATACACATGTGATGATTTTACCCCAAACTAATTTTTTATCACTAAAAATCCCAAACTGATACACTTGTGACAAATTTACCAACAGTTTATTTCTCTTAAATTTCACTATCAAATTGCTTTGTTAAATGACACGCGGTAGTTGACTAATATACTAATTTTATATTTTACTCTCCATTTGTCACATGTGTACCAGTTTGTGATTTTTTGTCGTATTAATCTAATTTAACAGAAACTAACGAAAGGTAAATTTACCATAAATGTACCAGTTTTGGATTTTTAGTAGTAAAAAAATTAGTTTTGGATAAATTTGTCACAAGTATACCAGTTTGGGATTTTTGGTAATCAAAAAATTATTTTGAGATAAAATTGTCACAAATGTACCAATTTGGGGTTTTTGGTGGTATTAACCCTAAAAGAAAATATCATATACATTTATGAACACTTACAATAATAAGATGTAGGCAACTTAATCAAGTAGATGGAATTTCCAAGTATATTGAGGGAAGGGGTGAGCATGGTCCGGGTGGGCAGTTCTCAGCCCGGAATCGTGGACCGCCCGCTAAGGACCGGTTCCAAAAAATTGGAACCGAGAACCGCCCGTCGGTTCCATGGACCCACCCGAGAACCGAACTGCCGGTCCGGTCCGGTTCCCGGGTGGGTCCATGGAACCAGTCCCACTAAGTTTTCCTGGACAAATCAAAAATTGACTGGTCTAATTCTTGCCCGTTGGTGGGTTGTGTTCACAACAAGATTTGTCACAAAGTTCATAACTTCATAAGCTTCACAATAAATACATCCGTAGCCTATATTATATATCACACGTGGGAGTTTGCCACAAGTTCACAATAGTCAGCAGGCAAACAAAACAACTCTCCTATTTTATTTTATTTTTTTAATTTTTTTGGTTAGATTTTTTTAATTAAAAATTAAAAAATTAATATATTATTATTATATTACCGGTCTGGTCCGGGTGGATGGGTGGGTGGTTCCACACCGGGAACCGGGAATCGGACCGATACCCACCAGTTCCAAAAAATTGGAACCGGGAACCGGACCGGTTCTCTTGGGAACCACTGGTTTCGGTCCAGTTCCGGGCGGTCACAGGCGGTCCGGATGGGTCCCGGTTTTTTTGCACACCCTAATTGAGGGTGCTATTCGGATTCTAAATCTCATAAACAAAAGAAGAGCTCTTAACTACCACGCACTGATCCCAAGGGTCATCGCTCTCACCTCACAGTTTCTTTCATTCACATTCAAACTTTGGCATTCAGGAACATACATTAACTCCAAATCTCATTAATTTCACCTGTTTGGTACTGATCTCTCCACCTCCTTTAGTCCCTCTCATTTCACACTGCTATTGTGTCTTCCTTCTCTTTCTCTCACATGTCCTCCTCAGCCGACCTGCCGGCGGCGACCGGAGTCGGCCTTGGATACGGCATCGCCATCGCCGTGAGCCTCCTCGTCCTCATCTCCACCATTATGCTCGCCTCCTACGCCTGCGTCCGCGTCAAGTCCCACAACCTCCGAGCCACCTCCGATGGTGACGCCGACGTGGCAGACTCAACGCCGCATGCTGCGGAGACGATGGTGGCGGTGGGGATGGACGGGGCGGCTGTAGAGACGTACTACCCGAAGCTCGTGCTGGGGGAGAGCAAGAGGCTGCCGAAGCACAACGAGGGGGGCCATTGCTCGATATGCTTGGCCGAGTATGAAGCCAAGGACGTGATACGGTGCGTCCCCGAGTGCAGCCACTGCTTCCACGCCGACTGCGTCGACGCATGGCTCAGGGTCAACGCCACGTGCCCGCTGTGCCGGAGCTCGCCGGCTCCCACGCCGCTCTCGGAGCTGGTCCCCCTGGCCATCAACCCCAGGTGACATTGGTTGGGTTGAGTTCTTTCGTTTTGTCTCGGTTTCGGGTAATGTCTTATATGTAGTGTAGTTGCCAGTCTCTGAGAAGAAACACGAGCATGCATGGTGTTTTCGCCTGTTCTTTTTCTTTTCCCCGAGGATGGTGAAGGATCTCCAGTAATCCGTATGTAATATGCAGTGCAGCTCAATAGAGAATATTCAAGAGAGGATTTGTTTCACAAATCTTATCACAAGTTTTGTACAAATCTTTAGCCGTTGATTCAAGTTTCCCCCTAACGTTAGCCAGTCATTGTTACCATTCAATCTGATGGTCGAGTGGAGCTAAAACAAGCTGATTGCTTTAGATTGGTACCCTTCAACAGCCATTCAATACAAATGGAGCAGAAGATCCCACACCAGATGAGAGAAAGCTCGCATTGCCCATCCGAAGTGAATGGCAAGAAATAATGCGGCCAAATTAGAAGATCAGGTGGATGCGTGTCTACATCTGAATGGAGCTTAGGCTCACCTTTTTTTCTAAACTTATACTAGTCAGTGGCAACAGAAAGCACGAAGTCATGTCCTGAGTGATCGGGTCGGCTCTTTGGACTGATCTACAAAGTCAAGGGTTCCTCGAGATTTGCCCCCTTATTCCATTATCCATAGTTCTCTTGTCTCTAGAAAATTGAAGGGGGTATAAGCTCTATGCAATCCAAAATGACCCCATTGGAAGCTGAGACTCATTCTTTGGATCAGAACAGTTTCTCTACCTTCAATTTAATATCCGACTTGTACATACAGACGTAGATCTGAGTCTTATATGTAGTTATTGTAAACCACCCGTTTCCCTTGAAAGTTTCAGATTGGCCCACAGACATTAATAATAATAAAAAAAAGAAAGAGACACTGAAAGGGATGGGAATAGATGGACTGTCCCGGCCTTGTTTAGTGTCATTGGCCGACACTCGGCAGTCCACATAAATGACCTGTTCGCACTTTAATATTCGCTTCACATGGGACGAAGAGCCCGTTGCTCGCGACAATTAGGTGTTGGGACGAGGGAAAGACGACCAAAAGGGGCGACGCTGTCCCAACCAGTCAAATAGAAAAAAAAAGCTTCTTTCCCAATGGTCTGATTTGGTGTGTCCGCTTCGTCTTCCTTCAAGATGGCAAAGACTTCTTTTTGTTTTCTTTTCCTTTCTGCACATCCTGCTGCTTAATGCTCACAACCCAGCCAGGACTCTAATGAAAGGGAGAAGTGCTTGCAAAGGTCGGGTCCGTGAATGGCGCGTGACCATATCCATCATTTTCGGCAGTTGGCACGAAACAATTAGCTGTACTTTTATTAGCTGTTATGGTCATATGCACAATTCCTGAGGACAAAACATCGTCTGGTTTTTCGGGCAAGGAAAAAATTCATCAAGTATCGAAGAGGAAGACACATGTCAGTTTCCCTGAGAAACGGCATCATCCTTCGGAAGAGCGACATAGTTGATAGGAATGACAGTATTAGACTTGCGGCCGTCTCTGCGCTCCTTGCCGCTTGAGAGCACTCCATGACGGCCTGGGGTGGCACCCCGTCGACCGATTGGTGTTCCCTGGAGGGTATTGGCGGTGGTGCTCTGGCCGAGCGGTTTCTTGGGCCGGGAACCGAAGATGGCTTCTTGTTCTGCAGCAAGTTGCTCCTGTAGTCGTTTCTGGTCCTGTAACGGGCAGAAAGGATGCAAAAGCAAGATTTAATACGCAAGCTCAGCTTCAAATAACAAATGTCAGAGCGGAAGCTCCAAAATGAGAAGGAAGACATAGTAGAACCTTCAAGATCCTTTAAAAAATGATAATAGGAGAATAAATGGTGGCATTTTTAGCGTGAAATAGAGGAAATTTAAATCCGTGCGTCATGGACATTAACATACTGAAATGCAAGCAGTACCAGATTAGACTACTTAAGCTTACCCGAAATCGACGCTTTTCCTCTTCTCTCTCCTGCCGCAACATTGAGTACTCCTCCAAAGTACATAAGAGGGGATCCTGAAATTATCTAGCAGTTTTAGTCAAACTACTTAAATGCTAAATTGTACATGAAACGGAAGATGCGTGAGCTGATTGATTACCTTATCATACAAGAAAGGGATCCCTTTCTCTGATTCCCAAGCTTTTATTCTTGATGTCAAAGTTTCAATAATAGCTAGTCAAGAAAATTTAAGTCTTGTATGAGCATGTAAACACCCATCCAAATCAAAAACAGTAAAATAAACGCTTTTTGTCAACTGCACACCGAAACCTTACAGAATACTTCATTTAATGACACAACTACTATCCATCAGAAGGTTATAAGCTTACAACATAACACGAGGAGTTTCCATGCTGTCACGAAAATGCTGCAATAGCTTGATTCCGGCAGTAAAAGAGGATTTCTCTTGATAGAGTCTGTCACTTCTATGAGGTATAAACTAATATTTATGTTCATTAATCAAGTCTGAATGTTAATCAGCAATGGTATTGATTGACATATAGTTCCACTTATGAATCAAGGATGCACCATGCCACCAATCATCAAAGACTCAGCTACTGTTATATCAGCGTCCGTAGAAGATGAAAAGCTCACATGGGATTTTGCTGACCAGGATCCGCGCCTTCTCTGCACGTTTGAGGTTTTTATGTGCTCCCCTTCCAGCAGAATAGCGATTTTCGTCCTACAAAGGTAAAAGTAAAGTGAGTAACTAAGGATTCAAAAGGCTAATGCTTGAAACATGATTGCCTAAGAGCAAGTATACGGCTCAAAGGCGTTACTTGCTCCGAATCTCCTAATGAAGGTCTGAGTTAATGACAAAAAGTAGCATAGATTGGAATAGACTAATCAAAAGAGACGTGAGTATCTCCAGTGTTTGTACCCATGAAGTCTAATTTTATGTCTACGCAATAAATCCTGGTTCACGAGCTTAAGCAGAAGAAATTTCTCTGGCATGTTAATTACCTTTTCTCCTCAAAGAATCATCTAGTAGCAGTAACAAGTTCACATGCTATTACTGAGGCTTGTGACATAACAAAAGGCCCAAGGGGCAACACTAAGGATGTCAACAGGTAGGTTTGGGTTTCTCACCATGCTTAGGCATGGATGTGGCCCCACCCTATTGCCACAACAAGGAGGTTGATGGCACATATATTTCATACCTAGTACTCATGATCCAGATGTAAGCAAGATTATCATCACTCGACATACAAATGTAAAATTTGGAAGAGAAAATGGAAGTCGGTGATGTGGAAAGAAAACATTAACATATACTCAGTGAAAATGAACGTTCCAAAGACAAAAAAAAGTCATAGAGCTGTTACTTTCTCAAAGCATTCAATATTTCTTCTTTCATGTTTTGACAATGCCTGGGCTTCACCCTTCAAGTATGGTATCTCCAAAATACTTGACATGCCATTTGTAAAACCAGTACAAAAGCTAGAGTACTGAATGTATCTACCACCAAACAGTGCCACAAAGCAATACGAAAGCTTTTTGAAAGTTGATACCTTTTCATAATCATCAAGCCATTTCTCCTCTTCTGCTGCATACTTCCACTTCTCTACCTTATCCAAAATATCCTTCCTGCTCAGAGCTTGCTCTTTTGCTTTTGCAATCTGGTCGTCCATGCTTGAAAGCAGATCAGACATATCAGCATTGCCTGCAAGTGCATGTTAAAAACAAAATTTAACAATTCAGTGCAGGTATTTTTGTTTAGCCTCAGAGCAAGAAGTGTGCATTTTGATTTCCTCCCAAAAGAGGGGCCTTAATGTAAACAAGGTAAAAGATGCATGCAAAAGAGAGGACAGAGGAATATATCAAGAACAAGGAGACTGCTAACGGTAAAAACATCATACTGGATATATGTACACGGGAAAAGGGTTGGAGGTTGGAACTCTGTTACAACAAATTTCAATTTCAAACGAGTTGAAATCGATGGCTAAAAATGACAACTGAAATGCAGAGATGAATATTTCAGGAATGCTTCTTCACCCTGGGATTTGATATATATGCACATCGTGGAAATTGCTAAATAACTTGAGGAAGGTTATGCCAATAGAAAGTAGTTCTAGTCTTATCACTGTGGAAAATGAAAAAGGGAATTACGAGTGAGACCTGATTCTATAAGGCTGATGAGAATCTGTCTTGCTGCATCACTATCCACATCCATATGAACACCTCTGTAGATTTCTTCAAGCTCACTTTGCCTCTTTAAAACAAGCTCCTTCATCTTACTGGCCTTTAGCACATTCAACCTCTCCACTTCAAGCTCAGCCTAGAAATAACAGGTTTAAGCATGTTTACAGAAATCCTAAAAACAACTTTTTAAATATGGTAGGCAGTTATTCGTGAAATAAACCTTAGGTCAAGATTTCACCTGCTCAATGACTTCTGGAGCGAGGGATCCTGACCTAGACACCTCGTCGACATTGGAAGAAATTAAACTGGTGACGAAGTCATATTTTTTCTGTTCCTCAGTAGGGGTGTCCATAAGGTTCCACAGCTCCATGAGTGTGCTCCCTAGATTTTGAAGCTACAATTACACCAAAAAAGCTTCTCTTCATTTGGATGATATCAAAAAATCTTATAGCAAACTAGATTATTCAGTTCGCCAGCAACAAGTATTAGCCTTGAGGGAATTTTATTAAGCTCAAGCTCAGGAAGATCATTAAGACAGTCAATAGGCCAGAAAAAAGTAAAGAGAGGAAAGATCTAATTGTACTAAGTAGCTGTTACAGGTGAAATTTTTAAAGAGGAATTAGATTAACTGCATACTTATCCATTTGGACAGAGTAGTGTATTTTTCCCTTGTCATTGCTTGAAGGCACAAAGAGTGCAACCAAGTCTTAAAAATCCATGCAGTTCCATCAAAGACCTTGCTAATACAAGCATGAACATGGGCAAAAACAACCTTAGAGATAAGGCAGCAATAAGACGTTTTTACGTGCTCTGATCAGGAAATACAAGTCCGATGTAGCATATACACATGTAGAGAATTAAAGACTCATAGGAAATATAGCCATCAAGTCACCTTCTGTAGTCTCTGTTTTTTTTCCTGTTTTAGGGAATGGATCGCACTTGTCAGTCTAGCAAGAGTGTCATTGCTTATGCTTTTAACCTGGTCACCTTTGCAGCTGCGCAAACTTGGATTAATTTCATTGACAGTCTCAAAAAAATCAAACGACAACACGACTGACAACTGATGGATGGTGTTGATATCACTGTTCACTCTTTGTAAGCGGATCAACTGCAACTCAAACAAAAGAATTGTTTAATTTTAAATATTTCCCAAATTTTCTCCTGATTTTCACAAAATCAGTGTACAGGTACAGAGAAAAGAAATGTAATAAACCTTCTCCTGTTGAAGCTCCTGCAAGTGTGATTTGAATTCCGCCAACTTGTTTAATGTCCAATCACATTCATTAACTTGCAGAGAAGTAGAATCAATAGACAGTCCATCGCCTGCTATCTCTGCACATATCCGGGCAATCTGCAATTGTGTCTCTGAAAATTCCTTCATTCTTTCGTTTTTCTTCAACCTCAAGTCATCCAGAACAGGTTGTATGGCAGAGAGTTGCTTTTTGAGACTACCCTTCCCCTTCATAATCAAGTGATATCTCAAAGCTCAGCACTTATCTTTACAAAAATATTTACTTGGAGAACTGGAGAGAACAAACCGAGTTTATAATTCTACGGTAGGCCCAGGTTCGAGAATAAAGAATTTTCTCCTCTCTTCCCCCAGATTTTCTTTTTCAGTTGAAAAAAAAGCCTCTCACTTCATCGATGTAAATTAAAATGCTATGAAGCAATTTGTGCGACGATTTATTCTTGTAATTTTCAATCCCCGATCCTGTACTTCAATCGGTAAATGTCGAAAAGGTTAAAGCGATGATTTATTCATGTAATTTTCGGTCCCCAATCCTGAACTTCGACTATTGAAAGGTTGAAAAGGTTAGTGTGAGTACCCGCGCGATGTTTATGCGCTCCCCGAGGGCAGAAATAAGGTTGGCTATTTCAGCTTCAGACTCGGCTAGTGATTGATGCAGGTCCGCCTTGTGCTTTCTGGTTTTATCGACCTTCCGGCGATAAATATCAAGACACTCCTGCTCCAGCTGCAGAAGCATTTTATCCCTCTCACCATCACCCTCACCGATCTCATCCCAAATGATCTGTCGTATAGTAATTAAATCACACGGAAAACTACAGCATGAGCAGGGGCAATCCGAAAAAAAGGGGGGACAGTGAGAATAAGAGACAATGTTCAAACCACACTGACAGAGCCGCTCAATTCCTTTCCAATCCTACCATCTAGCCATCTTTCGATTCTCTACAGACAACTCGGGAAGCCATTGCAGATCAGCGAAATGGCTCACAGAGAAAACAAGGCCCTACATCAACTGAGCAGTAATTTCTTTTGTCCTTCTTTCGCTAGTTCGCTGAGCATAAACCCTGGAATAGTGGAAATGTATCACGGCGGAAAACGAAAACACGAATGCAACCCGAAAACACCTCGCTGCTTCGACACCACGAGGACAATATCAACCTGAATCTTACAGAGAAAACCAAACCGGGAAAGCAATCCTACCGCAACAACCTCAAATGCAACCGAACCAACCCGAGAAAGATCAAAATCACCGATTTGCTAGCGCGAGCAAGCAATGGGGGGGCGGGGGCGCGGGCAACGCGAGGAAGAGGGACTGACCTGCAGCTCGTGGAGGAGGGAGCTACAGGTGGTGCGGGCCTGCGAAGGCGCGGGCTGCGTATCCGCCGTGTCGGATGACATCCCGGAACTCGGCGGTCCTCGGAAGACGACGTCGCCGGTGATTCGAGAAACCCTAGAACAAGAAGAAGGAGGAAGGAGGAGGAGGAGGAGGAGGAGGAGGACGGGAGATTCTGTCAATTCGGAACCGGAGAATCTGCGCGTTTATGAGGACGAGAGGGGGGAGAGAATTGGGAAATTTTTTGGGGGGGGGGAGTTCTTCGTCGGTTACGGATTGAGGCTTTTTTTTTTTTTTTTTTTTGGCGGGCAAAGGATCGGAGTTTTCCCCTTTTGAATTTGGCACGATTGGCGTGGAGGGGGCGGAGGCCCAGTGCTCTGGGCCCGGGCGGGGGGGGGACGGTTTCCCCCTTTTCCGAGGCCCATCGGTTCCCGAGCCGAAAGCATGAGAGCGCCCCCCCTCTGATCGACGGGTCGATCCTGAGGTGGGTAGTGATTTTACACGGACGTGCTCTGATTTTACACGGGAACTCGATCTGTGGGCTCGCGTCGCGTGCCTGCTGAATTACGCTGGTTCGACTTCTTTTTTACCCAATCTGATCCGACGGTGTTCATCGAAATCCTGCCTCACTTGAATGCCATTAGTTTCAATTCGTACGAATGAACACGCGCCGCATATAAACCACTTGTAATCTCGTTCAGGGAACCCGAGTTGCAATTAGAGTGACTTTTTCCAAATGCAAAAAAGAAATGCCTATGAATTGTAATTGCATTCATTCTCTATTGTATGTATCAAACCAAGTCTATATGAATTATAATTGCATTCATTCTCTATTGCATGTATCAAACCAAGTCTATATGGCATCGTTTGGTAGTTCGTATATAACTCTGGATTTTGATGTTTGGAGTAACATAAAATCTAAATATATCTAAATAAAATCTGAATAAATAAAAACCCCACCTAGAAGTTACGATATACCATAAAGATAACACCGTCGAAAATCGGCATGCAACCTCAAATCTAAGGTTGACAGCCTCAAGGGACCCTAAACTTGGAGTCACCTGAGGCTGGGCCTTGATCTCAGTCTTGACCATAGCCTCCGTGGTCATGACCAACAACCGCAAGCTCAGTTAACACTCGTCAGTGTTCACGATGACAAAGGAAGTTGCGAGCCCCTGATCCGGGCGATGTCGTCGGAGCGTCGCATGAAGGCGAAGGGCGTTCGTGATGGCGGCCGAGAGCAGCAGGTTTCTCCATTGATAGAGCAGTTTCTCTCGTTATTCTATACCCATGTCATATCCAGACGTTTATCAAACACCGTACAGCATGTTACCAATCTCACCATTATCCCAATTTGACCTTCGTCCCATCCGACCTCATTCTATTCGCGGAAAAAAAAAACAAATAAATCAATACTGAGAATTCAAGGAAAAGCTAAAATAGATATTTTTAACGAGGTTCGAGAAATTTCTCTCATACGAGCACGGGGGCGCGTGAGCCGCAACAACTGAGAAAGTCGCGGCTGTCGACGCGCGTCGTCATTTCAATTTTCTCTTTTGTTTTCTCGGGAAAACAAAACGAACCGTCGGGATTTGATCCATCCATATCGCCTTCCGTACCCTGTTCAGCGCCCGAAGGTCAACGAAAATCTTCACCATCCATAGCTAGCGCCTTCCATCTTTTCTCGCCGCGAGTGGGATGATGGACTCGTGCGCGCCGTGGCCGCCGCCGTCGCCGTCGCCGTCGGAGACCCTCCTGGGGTTTCTTCTCCGATCGAAGCTCAGCTCCCGGTCCTGCGGCTCCGGCGAGGACGCTCAGGAGCTGATCAGGGAGTGCGCCGCTAGGGAGCTCAACGCCTTCCTGTGGATCTCTCTCATCGCCCTCACCGCCTATCTGGTCGGGAAACTGGTCAAGCTGGTGAGGCTTTGGATCGGAGGGAGCAGGATCCCCGGACCTCCCTCGCCTTCCTTCTACGGCCACTGCAGGCTGATCTCGAGGGAGAATCTCGTCGGTGAGTCTTTCCGTCTTCGGAGTGTTAGTGTTCGAAGGAAAGCTTGAGTGTGGAGGACGAGAGGACGTGGACTAGGCGTCGGCCGTTACGTGCTTGTTGATCGGATTTGCTGTGTGTAGTTTGGTCCAATTTCTGGTTTGTTTATGTTCCCGATGCTTTTCTTAGCTCGTGAAATCCCTGAGGAAGTTGTTCAATGTTCACTGGTTGGCTTGAATGTTACCCTTGCTGGTGATTTTACGACTGGATTGAAGCAGAATATAGAAATACAAATACACAACATCCCCATGTAGCCTCAATTATGCTTTCTGAGCCTACCAAGAGAGAAAGGAACAATTAACTGAATGCACTCGACTCCACGACTACTGTTATTTGTCATGTAGACATCAGCTGTGGAGGCGCCAGATTTCACTACATCTACAGTTGGTGGAGCAGTTCATTCACTGGAGGGCCCTATCGTTGCACTTTGTATATCTTCAGTTTCGTCTGATAGTTTGTTGTTCTGGTGACTACTAATTGTTGTGCCTTGCATTTAGTTCTGTCTTTTTGCGAATACCGGCACTGCCATTTAGTCGATTCAGTTAGTGATTAGTAATTTAAGAGCTACTCCTCTGTGGAATGTCTTTTTCTCATTCTAGATTCTGTTAATGATTCTTTTGGCCTTTCTTAGATGTTCTATCGACCCTCCATGAGAAATATGGAGCAGTTGTCAAGCTGTGGTTAGGCCCGACTCAGCTTTTGGTATCGATAAAGGATGAAGGACTTGTCAAAGAAATGCTTTCAAAGGCTGAAGATAAATTGCCTATTGTTGGTAGGGCCTTTCAATTGGCCTTTGGACGATCAAGCCTCTTTATGCCCTGTTTTGACAAGGTGCAGACTCAGGTTCCTCGTCCTTATGTGGTCCAAAGTGTCTAGGGATTCTTGACTTTCTCTGAAGCAATAGTATCTCTGGCTGTTGCTTTACTATGATTAAAAGAAATTGAAATAGGATATTTCACTAGTCTAATAACTGGATGTTTTTTCACTCTGTTGTCATGGTCCCATTGCCAATTTACCGCCACCACCAGCACCTTGAAATATGCCATGCCAATGTCTATCCTTTTTATTGAAGTAGATGACTTAGTTACTGTCTGTTCATATAAACTCTCTAGCCGACTAAGATTTGCATAGTTATCTTATTGTTGAAGCTAAGATATGTACATTCTATATGTTAGTATCAGTGGCCAAATTGGAGCTGACACCTCCAGGCCATGCATCAAATGTGTTCTTCTCCTTATGTGGGATGAATATTCAAGTCATCCTTGTTTTGGTTCCTTACAAATATTTTTCATTTGTTAGCTCTTCTTACTTCACGTAATATTGCCAGCAGGTGCAAAAGAGAAGAGAGTTATTGGAAGCAGAATTAAATAAAAGATTGCATGAGAAAGCAGGTGTTATCTCCACGAAGGTTGTGGACTCGATCATGGAAAAGATGCATCTGCTAATGGCCAAAGGAAGTGTGGACTCTAAAGTATTATCTCAACATATGGCGTTCACAGTTTTGGGTGCTACAATGTTTGGGGAAGCATTCTTGGGTTGGTCTGAAGTTACTGTGTATGAGGAATTGCTCATGTCAATTTCCAAGGATGCATACTTTTGGGCTTCATATAATGTCACTCCTTTCTGGAGAAGGGAATTTCGGGGGTACCAAGGAATGTGCACAAAGTTGAAATACTTGACTCAAAATTTCGTTCAACTTTGCGAAAAGAACTATGAGAGATGTTGCCGCCTTGATGAGAAGCCTAAAATTGATCCGACAGTAGGAAGTTGTCTGGCATGTTCTCCTGCTCTGATGCCTGATAATTTAGTGTTGAAGGAGCTAAATAGCCAATTTAATCCTAGTGAGGAACCATGTGCAAATATCATGGGTGTAATGTTTCATGGATGCCTGACTACTGCCAGCCTAATTGGTGATATCTTCCTAAGGCTTGCATCGAATCAAGAATTGCAAGATCAGGTCATTTTCCCCTTTCTCTACTACTCTTATAAATTGTTTATGTGACCGAGCAATCTAGATGTAAACTATGTATTATTTGGTAGAAAGTTTGAATCTAGGCAATGCAGAGGAGGAATTTTAGAAGATTGTGGAGTAGAGTTTTTCGTAACCTTGCTGTTCTCAGTCTTATGCCTTTGTGATTTTTAGTAATTCTTCCTCTCGGGTGCTGCTCTTTTGTTGGTAGTCTTGGCCCCTGGTGCTTGCCTCTATCCTTTGTCTCGTCAAGTCTCTATATGAGTCATTGTTCTATACATCAGCTCTAGATGGGTCGATATTAGAAGGTAAATGGTGATTGATCTGGTTGTAGATTGACTATCACTTAGCCTTGGTTTCCCATGAGCCATTATCATATCAAGGAAGTTAATTTATGAAAATGATGCTGCTAATGGATAACTTCTGGTTAACATTTGGTAACCATGTTTGGCTTGCTTTGAGGCTATTGTTGATTTCTATGAAGAACTTGGTTCACATTATATGACTGTATTTTTAATATGTTTTAAAGATCTACTCGGAGATCGTTACGGCAAGAAAATTGTCACAGAAAGAGGATTATCGACACCTTGATGAGATGGTGTTATTATTTGCCACTATTTATGAATCTGCTCGTCTTCTCCCGTCATGGCCTTTGCTGCAGAGGTGCTCTCTTAATGCAGGTATGTTGCTGAATTGCATCAGGTGGTGCATTTGACTGTGAATTTGTGCAATAAAGTGCGTCTTCATAGTGCATTGAAATTGAAAAGGAGTAAATGGCAATTTACAGATATGCCGTGCGATGTGGATTCTTTAATTTTGTGCTGCATTTATTTGCTGTCAATTTGAAAATATCTTTTTGCATATTGATGAAGGGCCTATGTTAAATTGTCAGCAAAAATAAGTTGAATGCCTCTCTCTTTTCCAATTATATCATCAATTCAGTATGTTGCATTCTTACGGTACTGATGAGGTATGATTCATGGGAAATGTTAGGCTTTTAGTTTCTTGAAATCTCGAGGTATCTCCCCCTTATGCCACGTTTTATGTCATGGTGCTCCTTCATTCCCATGGAAACCAGTTTCCTTGTGCTGCTGAGATGGTCAGTCTAAGTGGCCATTCAATCGTCATTAAATTTAAGTGGAAGGACTTACATTAAATTTATTTGTAAAAGTATACCAATTTGATGTTTGTAACAGCAAATTTTTTCCAGCCAACTAACACCCATCTTCAATGCTGAAGAGGGTTTCACATAATGCCCATCATTTACCTTTTTATTTTTTTTTAGTGGAAATGCTTTGAACTGTTCTTTAACTCAAGTCTTTTGCAACTTTCTAGACTTGCACCTCAAATCAGGTACTACTATACCTGCTGGAGCAGTATTAGTTGTGCCTTTGCAGTTGGTACAAATGGAAGGTTTAAACTGGAAAAATGACAGCAGTGAGTTCAATCCATATCGTTTCTTATCAAGGGCTGAAAAGGGTTTTCTTTCAGCACAACTTACAGGTGCCACTTATTTTTATTTTCAGCTTGCAATCTTCTTTTTTATTTTCAACTTCCTGTTTCACCTTGCCTTCAGCCGTCAGTCAAATATGGATCATAGTAGTTGTTGCTGATAAACTTTTCGAAAAGTCACTTATCCATCCTGATGCGATTCGGACATCTTTTGTGGGCAGTGCAACTTTCCACGTTGTAATTGCTCGATGTATTTCCTTGAGGATATCGCATTAATTTGCTTGTTTCTGGCTGTGAATTAAAGTCATAGGGAAACTATGGCCTGATTTTTAGGGTGCGCATGGAATGCATTCCGGAATAAAAATTCTGTTCCGGAAATGGCGTTTGTTAAAAAATTTCCGGAATGCATTCTGGAGCGATTTTTGCATTCTGGAATAAAAATGCGTTTGTTAAAAATACTTGATTCCAGAATGCATTCTTGATTCCGGAATGAGTTTTTGGCAAAAAAAAGAGAAGCTACTTTTTGTAGCTTCTTGATTCCGGAATGCATTCTCCCTATTTTCTCATAATTTTTTTTTTCAGAAAATGCATAAAAATTGAAAAATTCTAGAAAAATTCATAAAAATTTCCAGAAAATAAAAAAAGTCAGATTTCGGGAAAATATGAAATTTGGTGAATTTTTTTTAAAAAAATCAAAAATTTCAAAACTTCACAGAATAGCTTAAAACACATGTGGCCACCCACTTTGAGTGAAATTTAAATTTTTTGAGGTGCCCAAAAAAAATCAAAAATTTCAAAACTTCACAAAATGGCTTAAAATACCTGTGGCCACCTACTTTGAGTGAAATTTAAATTTTTTGAGGTGCCAAAAAAAAGAAAAATAATAAAAAAATAAAAATTTTCAAAACTTCACAAAATGGCTTAAAATACCTGTGGCCACCCACTTTGAGTGAAATTTAAATTTTTTGAGTTGCCCTAAATTTAAATTTTTTTAAGTGCCCAAAAAAAATTAAAAAAATCAAAAATTTCAAAACTTTACAGGATGGCTTATAATATATGTGGCCACCCACTTTGAGTAAAATTTAAATTTTTTTAGGTGCAAAAAAAATCAACAAATCAAAATAGATTTCTGTTCCAGAAATCAATTTCTGGAGCAGAATTAGTCATGTTTTACCAAACAGATTTCTCCTCCAGAAATCAATTTCTGGCAAGAATTTGATTTCTGGAGCAGAATGGTTACCATTCGCACCCTTAGAGTCAACACTATCTTTAGCTTGAACACACCAACTTTTGCATAGCAAGCTACAATTTTAAAAATTACTATGATATTTTGCTGTCACCACCATGGCAAACATTTTATAACAGTCTTCTGGTTATGCCTGTTGTCTCCCCGCAATCATTTTCATCAGGGGCTGCTGAAGACGGCGGTTTTAAGAAGAGTTCTTTTGTTTTGGATGATCCAAGAAGCCATGCAGCATATCTTCCTTTTGGTTATGGCACACGTGCTTGTGTTGGTCAAAGGTTTGTGATCCATGGACTGGCAACATTATTTGCATCAATGTTGGAGCACTACAAGGTTTGCTTATTCTATTTTCTCTACCTTACTGCTTGTAGAGGTCGCAACAACTTTTCCCTGACTAATAGAGTTCTGATTAGAGCAAGGAACTGTACACTACATGAGAAAAACGTGAATAAAGGGAAATTACTAAACTGATGCAGAGAGGGTCTAAATATTACAAAACTGGGAAGGAGTTTGGGAGATTATCTGGTGATCGATATCCTATCTTGAATAGTGGAATCATCACAACAATTAACCATGGACGGTGGTCCTTTACATGTGCTAAAACAACATATATCCTGCCGTTGCTCTTGCGATAGGCCTTAGATATGAGAATTTAAGAAAAAAGTTGCGCAGGCGGGTGAGCACTTTTCTGTTCTCATATTAGCTCCAACCGAAATCTGACACCCAAGCAAGAGTGGTCTTTTAAAAAGTAAAAAAGACGGATTGAAATGGCCTGACTGGAAACCAAAAATTTCCTGGTTCTAGATTTAATTGGACTGTTTGGAGGCCCCTACTACTCCAAGGACTGACGCTTCTTTCATTACTATCTGACTGGATGGTTCTGTTTGTAGTTCTAAAGCCACTAGCATTTCGAGTACTGCAGCATTCTGTAGTCTGTCGTTTAGATAAGCAATGAGATGCCGTTTTACTTTCTAGTGTAATTTTCTGCTAGTTCTATGATGGACAAGAAACCGTGATATCTGGTTGGGATGAACATTTTTGTGCAGGTAAGGTTGAAGCAAGGATGTGAGGACGATCTCAAGCCAACACTTAGTAACAGTGCTCTTGAACGGCTTCCCAGCCAGGAAATAGTTTTCGCGAAAAGGAACGCCTGAAAGACAAGGCGACGACGCTTGGATTTTCTTCGGACAAAATCGTCCGTTGCATAGGGGGGATAAGTTTTCAAGTTTACTTCCGTTTGTTTGTGTTTTTTTTTTCTCAAAATCGATGTGGGGAGGATGCTTCGCTGTTGACCCGACAACTGGGGATTTGTACACCACGTGAGCGAGTTTCGAAGCTCATGTTTTTTTTTTTTCGCTCCCCATTTTTAAAGTAGCCGAAGGTGCCGTCTCGCAATGTTGGACATAAAAACTAAGTTTTTGGAGCACTAGGAGCTATTGTGGCCCGGCAGCGAAGCCTCTTCTTGTTTTCTCGACCCCCCCATCCCTTGAATGTTTTGTATCTGGTCCTTTGTACCTCCGCGTCTGGTTTTTCACTCTCCCTTGAGGAGAAGATGATGTTGTACTTTCTAGCAAAAAAAAACAAAAATGATGTTGTACTTTAATACTCTGCGTAACGTTGCTGTTGACAACTTGGTGCTTGTTTTCTCTCTCTCTCTCTCTCCACCGTGCCTTCGACAGTCACTACTTTCCATAGTGTCCATGCTTACACATGTAGACATGATCTCTCCTTCCTAGGTCAACTTCAGCATTCAGCAGTCCTAGGCTGATCGGCCGTCGCCTGCTTGATCGTAAAATCCTTAAGATTTTTGTGTAACGATATTTATAAAAGAGTCGGGAAGAAAATGCCAGCAGCTGTGATCGCTACAATTCGAAAATCCATCTCTCGATCAACCATAAATTTATTTATTAGTGAAATATATTTTCATTATCGATAATAATTTAAATTTAAATATTCGTGTGATGACGATAAAAATATTATTTATTTATTTATTTTTATAAGTAATTTGAGTAATCGATTTTGTTAAAATATTCTCAAAATTATTAATTTTTCTCAAATCGACCCGTACTCAAATTCAATTGGAAGAGAGGAAAAAAAAAATAGGAAAAAGGGCGAAAGTGAGGGGGATCCACGGGCCCAACAAAGCTTACGCACTAAGCAAAATGGGGGGAACCTTCCTTTGGAAACGGGACGCGACCATCCGACACGTGTCCCGCACGTATCCTATTCCCCTCGCACGCTCGCCAAATGTCCTCCCCCGCTCCCTTCACTTCTCAATTGAGTACAGCGAAACCGATCGGCCATGAAATCGCCATGAAATCGAACCTCATCGCCTGCTTCCTATTCTCATCTCTCCTCGTAGCCTCGGCCTCTTCTTCTGCAGCCCTCGGAGGAACCGATCGAGCAGCGCGGGCGGAAGAGGAAGGCGGCGATTCTCGCCCGACGATGGCCGCGCTCGGTGGGGCCCACGAGCCGCGAGGCGCCGAGAACAGCGTCGAGGTCGAGAGCCTCGGTCGTTTCGCCGTCGACGAGCACAACAGCAAGGAGGTGATTCTGCGCATTCCCCTTTCGCCGCGTCTGCCGTTCACCGCGAGTTTCTTGTTCTTTTCCGTGGGCGGGGGATCGTTCGATTCTGTTTTGCTTGTGGGTGGGTCGTCGGGCGTCGATTCGCCGTCAGGTGGGTGTGGGGTTCTTGCGAATCTTTTTAACATCTAGTGCCGGTCAATTTGATCCGGAGGAGGTGGGCCGAAGAGGGAGGAAATCGATTTTCGAGCTGTGTTTTCTTTTGATGGTTTGCCTGTGTTGGGGGGGGTTTTCGTAAGATTTCAGTTCGATGACGGTGCGGTGGTGCCAAACTCGGTCTTAGAAACGCATCTTAGATAGACATGTGCAAGCATGCCTCCGCTCTGCCCGTTGTGTGCGCCGTGCGCGGCGCGTGGGAGACTGACAAAGCGTGAATGCTTTTCTTGAAGAATGGGCTCCTCGAGTTTGCGCGGGTGGTGAAGGCGCAGGAACAGGTGGTTGCCGGCACCTTGCACCATCTTACCATCGAGGCGGTGGATGCCGGGAAGAAGAAGCTCTACGAAGCGAAGGTCTGGGTGAAGCCGTGGATGAACTTCAAGGAATTGCAGGAATTCAAGCATGCCGGTGATGTCCCCTCCTTCACGCCCTCGGACCTCGGTGCTCGGAGAGGTGAATGGTGTTTCTCGCGTCGGCGCGCGATTTTTTTTCTCGATCGTGGTTCGTAGTCGTGCGCTGTGTGGTTGATGGATGTGTAAAACTATTCTTGTTGTGATTGGAAAAGGTGGGCATGCTCCTGGTTGGCAAGAAGTGCCTGTTCACGATCCCGAAGTCCAGGATGCGGCGAATCACGCCGTGAAGACTATTCAGCAAAGGTCCAATTCCTTGTTCCCGTATGAACTTCATGAGATTGTTCATGCAAAAGCTGAGGTAAGTAAATGCTCGAATTTCACTTTGTCATATACTAAAGTTAGTTGACAGAAGATTGAGCTAGCATTCTTTTACCACTTAATATATCGTGCTGCCAAGTTTTGGACATGCAATCTGATGTGTGGTTGTCTTTGCTTGTTTTTGCTGTCTCCATTTTGCTGACTTCCATTGTCTTAACTCCTCCGTTGAGGCTGTAGACCTTGATGTCAATTTGTGGTGCCCGTCAGCGAGGGTGCAACTTTATCCCAGTCCTCGTGACTGACAAAATGATTAAATTACGAACAGTTGCTGCTATAACGTGCCTCCCTCCTCGTCTCGTTCTCCATGCCAATCTATCCCTTTTGAGATGTCTAATGGTCTTTTAATCAAAGCTACGTCGATTTCGTGGCCATGTGCTGTATGCATCATAAATGCTGGGAGGAGGAGAACCGATTTGAAACCTTGAGTGAACTGTAATTGTAACCATGCAGGTAGCAGAGAGCTCGGCCAAATTCGACATGCTTCTCAAGGTCAAGAGGGGCGACAAAGAAGAGAAGTTTAAAGTTGAAGTGCACAAGAACCATGAGGGAATCCTACAGCTGAACCAGATGGTGCCTGAGCAATCCTGAACCGTGATGGATGCATCTCACTTTGGTTTCCGAAAATGAACCCCTCTCTGCATAAACTTCCTAGCGTGTCTTTGTATGTTTTGAGTTTTCTTGTGAACTGAAGAAAAACTGACGTGTAGTCTCTCGTGGCTCATAAACTTTACATGAGCTCGTCTTCACTCTTTGTGTGCTCTCTTGTTTAGGTGTTATATATACGGTGCTAGTTGCGAGAAGCAATGCTGTTAGTTTTTTAACCACAATCGCTACAGGCTCTTCGTTTTCAAATTACTGTTTGATATGGAGCCGTTTTCTCGAAAGAATGACTTAGATTGGACTTTGCCTCAATAAGGGTCTAAAGTGGTCAAGTTGATCTCAAATAAGCGCTCGAGCTTGTCGGCCGGCTAAATCTTTGTGGGCCAGTTCGTTTCAGCAATTAGAGCAGGGTAACTCTATCCCAAAATTGCAATTGCGATTAGGTTCGCTATGGATTTAATCCTTCTTTCTTGAGAAAATTGTCCAAAAAGTTCTAAATCTATTGCATTTTTGCTAGTTAAGTCTTAAACCTTTCAAGTTTGTCAATTGAGTTCTAATCTTTTACACTTTTGCCAATTGAGTCCATCCGGCTAATTTTGGTTGGAAATCACGGACGTGGACGCCGGACGGCCACGTAGTGCTAGCGTTAACATTTTTAAATAATATTTTAATAAATTTTTGAATCTTTATGGTTTTTTTTTCTTCGTCTCTATTTTTTTTTTTTTTGGTTTTAGTGTTGGCCGGCGAGGGTGGCTGTTCGACCCTCGCCGGCCAAAGAGAGGGCGTGCGAGCCCTTGCCCAAATCCGGCTAGGCGAGGGTTGCCCTCGAGCCCTTGCCCAGATCCGGCTAGGCGAGGGCTTGGCAGCCCTCGTCGGCCCCAGGCAAGGCAGTTGGCGACCCCACACCCTCGCTTTGGTCGGTGAGGGCGTCGCGGCCCTCGCCCAAAGCCAGCGACGGTCTGCCGACCACCCTCGCCGGCCAATTCCAAAACACCCATAAAAATAGAGAAAAGGAAAAAAAATCATAAAAAATTCAAAAAATTATTGAAATACGATTTAAAAATGTCCACGTCAGCACCATGTGACCAATTGGCGTCCACGTCAGCGATTTCCGATCAAAATTGATCAGATGGACTCAATTAGCAAGAAGTGTAAAAGTTTAGGACTCAATTGGCAAGAAGTGAAAATGTTTAGGTCTCAATTGGCAAACTTAAAAGGTTTAGGACTGAATTGGCAAAAGTGTAATAGATTTATGACTTTTTGGGACAATTTTCCCTTCTTTTCTTAGGTTCGCTCTTCGATTCTTCGTCGATCCTCCATCTCAATCGTACACGGATTGCGTAGACCGGCATTTGGAAAGCTGACCTCGGTTGGATCACCGTCCAAGGACGATCAAGAAGTTCTTTGAGGCCATCAAGCAGTGCAACTCGACTGTTACCATCGAAGCATGTTACCAGCGAATAATGATTCGTGGGAGTAAGGACGAGTGATGTATGCAAGGAGGGGGCTGTGGTAAGGCATGAATGCAGTCACTACCCTGTGGAACTACTCGGACAGCATCGATACAGAAAATTGATAGATAATCGAAGACCCCTTGTTCAGCATTCAATTTTAGGATTTTATCATTTTTTACATAATTGCAAGGTTTGGATTCAATTGCCCATGCTCTAACTGCCAGGTAATGCGAGTTTGGGCTATTTTGTTTGAAACTAATTTGGCCACTTTAGACTTTTTATGCGACAAAGTCTGTTCTGAGCCCTATCTCGAGAAAACGGCTCCACCGAAATCTTCGGTGGAGAAAATTGTAGCAAATATTGTTGATTTGGGTTCATTTGTTTGAGCATTCAAGTAGACTAACTTTATAACTTAATATTATTGCAAATATTTCGGTTATCTCGATGTTATGTCTAGATTATATCTTGCACCATTTTGATGAATTAAACGAGTCAATCTGGATTCAATCATGTGATCCAAATTTGGACTCCCTCCCTCCCTCCCTCCCTCCTAGTTTATTCTAGAAAATGACCCTTGCATAGTAGGGCTAAGCCGCATTGAAGTTTGGGCCAAGTTGTTCCCAAGCCCGATGTAATGCAAAGTACATTTGAATACTTTGATTGGCCCGGGCTCGAGTCATAGGATTGTGCAACCGGTCCAGTATTATCCGAGAACCAAACTGGCCATCTAGTTCCCAATTCCAAATTTTTGAAATTGATATTACGCGGGTAGGTTCCAGCTTTGAGTACTGAAACCACCCAAACACCCTAAAACCGATTAGAACCAATTTTATGAAGTTGGAAGATGATTATTTATCTTTCTTAAAGGAGCTTAATCCTTAATGCTTTATATTTCTATTGGTTTTGTATCAATATTTAAATTGAGCCGTTTTGTTCCTCATACTATTTTGCTGTAACTGTTATTTGTTTTAATATTTTTTTTTACAAAGTGAAACACATAAAATAAAGAAACCAGTTCCCTAGTAGACTCTGGAACTTGACCTAACAAACATGATAGGTACCATGGTCGGTTCAAGGTTCTAAAAACTTAGCACAGGTCCTAACAGGGTAGGTTCTAAGATTCATGTCTTAAACCTACATATCTTGGAAACTATTACCCCTATCAAGCCAAGAATAGGCTCAAGGCTTCTCGATGTAAACCTCCCATCCGTCCTTCGCCTCTTAAGCTTGGACAATTAGCTAAGCATGCTCACTTTCCTAAATCAGTCTTGAAAATGGTTATTCCATTCGTACCTTATCTAATGTCACAAACATGCGATGGATTGAGTTATAAATATAAGGGATATATGCACTGGAAATCCTAAAACTTGTCACAAAAGTGCAATTGAGTCCTACAACTTACAAAAAGTATAATCAAGTCCCAAAACTTGTCAAATTGATTCAATCAAGTAATTCCGTTAACTCCATCAAATTTGGCTAATGGAAAATACTAACATGGCTTTTATTTTTCTATCTTACATGGCGATGACGTGAATAAAATGATGCTATTTTTTATCCAAATATGATTTTTAATTCAAATTATATTTAAAAAATAAGCTAAATTAAAAAAAGGGCCCTCGCCTGCTGTTGACAAGGGTCGCTGGCCATCTTCCACCCTCGCCAGCCTTTTCGGCAAGGGTGAGGCAACCTTTTTTTAAGCTTATTTTTTAAATTTAATTTAAATAAATTTTATTTTTAAAATCAAATTTGAACCAAAATGACGTCATTTAGCCTCATGTTTTATGATTTAGCCACGTTATCGCCACATAGGAGAGAAAAATTTTCAAAAGCCATGTCAGTTTTTTTGTTAGTCAAGTTGGACGAAGTTAATGGAAGGTTTTGATTTAACCAATTTGACAAGTTTTAGGATTTGATTGCACTTTTTGCAAGTTTTATGACTCAATTGCACTTTCGTGACAAGTTTTAGGATTTCCAATATACTTGTCCGAAATAAAATAATAATTGTGAGATTTCAATATTGCAGCTACCGTTCCAACCTAAGTAGACACGAGTTCCTCAAAACGAGAAATATTGATGGATTTATAATTGATTCGACAGTGCTCTGCAAAATGACGTGGTGAGCAATTGTTGGTAGTATCTTACTTAGAAAAATGAAATTGCCTTAAAAGAGAGAAGTTATTATGATGAACTTGTAGGAAAATTTGATATGAAGTAAGGCGACATAAAACTATTAGATCGCATAAGACACAAACGAAAGTTTATGTGGCTTATCTCAAAATACCGATTGAGATGGAAATAATTGAACTAAAAGTCATAAAATATATTGTATGATGGCCAATTCATTCTAAATCTTTCGGTTGTTCCAGTTTAGTTCTAAACATTTTGACGTTTTGCCGATGTAGTCACACCGATCAATTTTGGCTGGAAAGTTCTAACGTGGATGCCAGACATCCTACGTGGCATGGATGACCAATGCTAACGTGGTTTGAAGATTTTTTTTTTAATTTTCAAATGTTGTTGTTATTATTATTATTATTATTATTATTATTATTATTATTATTATTATTTCTTTATTTTCTTCTTTTCGTTTTTTTATTTTCTTAAATGAAAAGAAGGAAAGGAAAAGAAAAAAGACAAGAAAAAAAATCAATAGAAAATTCTAGAAATTTTAAAAAAAAAAAGCTGTTAAATTATCCACATGAGTGCCGACCATACTACGTAGGAAAGGCGGCGTCCACGTTAGCAATTTTTTTATCAAAATTGGCCATAAGAACTAAATTAGCAAATCATCAAAAGTTTAGAACTAACGGTACATTTGTTTTGCGGAAAATGAATAATTTGAAAAATATTTTCCTGAAAAGAATTGCTTGTACCACTTATCAAATGAATGAACAAAAAATATTTTTATTGTTCACAGCAATGTTTAGACTTAAAGTGTTGTTGACAATAAAAATATTTTTCATCGACTAATTATGTCAATCGATACAAGTAATTATTTTTAAAATAATATTTTCAAAATCATTCATTTTCCGTAAAATAAACAGAGCCCAAATTGACAAAATTCAAAGATTTAAAACTAAGTTGGCCACCGTCGAATAGTTTTAGGGCTTTTTTTGGATGACTTTTCCGGATGGAAAGTGTCGGCCTGAAGTTACTCTATTAGATTTGTTTCCTTAGCCAATCGATTATTTTCAAACCCTAGGGTCCGCGTGTTCTCTATAACTCAAACGTAGACTTTCCGAGACCTTTAAACAAGCAAGTACAACTGTTTATGTCCTAAACATCGCGAAAGCTATCCCTCGCATCACTTTGCTTCCATAATCGATCCCAAGGCAGAAAAACGCGTATAATGTTGATTAAGATCTGATCTGGGATTATTATTTCCTCATACAATATCACATTCCCTAATCGCAAAAAAACTATTTGAGCGGTCCATATTGAATCGCGTGGCATACCATGTATCCATTAGAGCAACTAGGTTAATGACTTGTTCATCTGCAACAACACCAAATTATCCAAACCTTCTCTGCAAAGAAAAAAATACCCAAAACGCTGATTGCTGCCTTACTAACATCCTATTGTATATGGTTGTCAGCGTGACTAACTTTGACTCATGCCCAGTCGATCTTTGACCGCACCAAAAAGAGCAACTATGTTGGGAAGTGCTTATTCACGGTCTTTTTCAAGCAAAGTTTTGAGGATCCCGAACATGGCAATCTCGGTGTTGCTGTAATTGGCGAGATTTAGATAGTTACTTAGATCCAAATAACACTTGAAATGCCAAGAATATAATATGCATCTTATCCGGTCGCATCGGATTTCGTAATTTATGTACGATAAGATTCTCTGTTCTCGATAATTACCCAAACATATCGCCGTACTAGGGTACTGTCAGGTTCAGACGGCGCCACACTGAGTGCAAAGTGCGAGAAAGAAGGGATGATCCAAATGAAAAAAGAGGAGCATGTTTCATTTTTGGTAAATGAGCTCACATTTGACAGCCGCCAGATCACAAACTCATCCGGCCGGAATGTTTTGCCAATAAAACATGTCTTCAAGCTCCAAGTTCCGTGGGCGGAGCAGATTCCTGGCTTGACAGTGGGCGATTCTGCATTTGGGATTTCTTTCCATGCATGAATAGATTTCCGTTAACTCGACCACTTATAAATATGAGCGCATTTCATCAAAGTTTTCCTCATCATCAGGAAAAAAAACCCCCAACCAAACGTGAGAGAGAGAGAGAGAGAGAGAGAGAGAGAGAGAGGAAAAGAAATGGAAAAGGCCATGGGAAAAGCAGCAGTGACCCCAGTGGACAGTTGCCCTTCGTGTGATTCCTCACGCAATGTCTCAGCAACCCCAGACCACGGTGGCACTGCATGCAAACTACCTGTCCTTGCTCATGACGCTGCCAAGGACAAAATGGAAGTGGACGAGCAAGTTGGCGAGACTTCTGGTGCTGCTGAGGCCCGTCTCTTGCTCGATCTGACCCTCATGACACCTGGCTCGGGCCACAGCGAACCCTTGAGCTCCAACGGAGAGGTGGTCATAAAGGGGTCCTCTCCATTGGATGATGGTGAGCGACATGAACTGCCCCCTGCCGATAAGGTTTTCGCGTGCACCTATTGCAAGAAACGCTTTAAGTCGTCGCAGGCGCTCGGGGGCCACCAGAACGCGCACAGGCACGAACGTCTGATCACGAAAAGGCAGCAAGAACTTGCTGCCTTGAGTGGGTATGGGCCGCCTTCGACTCTGACCTATGGGTACGGCGGTTTCAATTCGCGCTATTCAGATGTCCATCCGTTCCCGGCTCTCGGACCGCTCAACCAACTGGCCCTGCCTGGCGTGGGGATGGATCAGCCCATGATCCGCAGGCTCCAAAAATCATGGAACCAGCCGGGATCGCGGGTCATGCAAAACAGGCCGTCGCTCGGGCATCCACACATGATGGCCTCACCCCTGCCAAGGATGGAGGGCATGCCTTATGCTCCTAATAACTCTTTTAATAATTTCAATGATGCAGGATTTCTGGGCCAATTTAGGGCTCCTCCTCCTCCAGCATCTAATCATTATCAACAGGGCGGTGGTGCAATGATGCACAGCTTTCAAGGTCCTTCAAGCATTCTCGGCCCGAATGTGGGAATGAGGACGGTTGCTGATGGGTGGGGCAGCAGCGGCGAGGGCGGTGGCAGCAGCGGTGTCCTACTGGGAAAGAGGGATGATCAGCTGAAGACCGTCCATGGAGAACTAGATTTGACTCTCAAGCTATAAGTTCATTAGCAAGTTAATTCATTTTCTTTGCATTTATTAAAATCTCATCTCTGGCATTATTGTGAGTAGAGATTATCATCATGCATTAGTTTAGTTGATGGCGATTATTGTGAATTGCATCATCGTGCGTTAGTTTAATGTCTACATGCATGGAATAAACAATCGTTTTGTTTACGTAATTGGTGCTTAATCTTTTTCTTTCAAATAGTCAATCAGACTCCTTAAACTTCAATACTTTGATGTTACATTGCGTTTGTGATATATCGGTTCTTATTTCCGATTGAAACGATAAAAACTATGGTCGATCTTCAATAGTCGACTCCTGATGATCGATCTTCAATTGTCGGCTCTAGTTTGAATTGCTATTTTCCATAACTAGTAAAACCCAATTGCCAGTGATATTTACTAACAATCCGTTAACCGTTACGGTTGTGATTTTCTGTTATTGCATGATTCGTTGACGTCATCGTGATAGGAACTACCCTGAAAATTATATGCAGATCACGCACATTAGATTGGTTTCTACTAAAATGTTGTGTCATTGCCTAATCAATAAAAAGAACTTACTTTACATGGAGGAAGCAACTTAAAAGTGAACGACGAAATTAAATTTTCGATCATAACAAGAGGAGTGAGTAGTTCAAATTCAAAGATAAAAATCGTGTATTTGTGTCTGTCAATAGAGGAATGAGGACTATTGAAGAGCAAATATGGTTAGTCCATTTCAGGTAAATTCCTATAGTCTACTCATGTTAAGACACAATCCGTTAACTGCTAGGTTTGTGGTTTTCCTGCATGATTCGTTGACGTCATCATGATAGGAATCACCACGAAAATTACAGGCATATCACGCATATTAGATCAGTTTCTACTAAAATGTTGTGTCATTGCCTAATTAATCAAAAGAACTTACTTTACATTGAGGAAGCAAACACAGAAGTGACGACGAAATTAAATTTTCGACCATAACAAGAGAAGTGAGTACTTCAAACTCAGAGATAATGATCATGTAGCTGAATCTGTCAATAGAGGAATGAGGACTGTAGAAGAGCAAATATGGTTAGTCCATTTCAGGTAAATACCTGTAGTCTACTCATATCTAGTTGTAGATATCAAATCCATCTCATCATACTATTTACTTGGTAAATCCAACAGAATTTTGATTGGAGTTATGAATTTTCGCTTATTATGGGAAAACTTACTCACATATACCGGATTTCAACTGCACAAGAGTCCTTCGATTTCTTGCTTATTGAGACGGGCAAAGATCATAATTATCTTTCTTTCTTATAAAAATCGATTTTGCTTCCAAAAAAGCAGCATTCAGAGCATTTGACTTGCCTTTAGAAGGAGAAACATCCCAAAATAGAGTTGATCTTCTAGAAATAGCCTAAAGGCGTTCCAACTTCCAACTCTGGAATGCAGCTTGGGCTCTGCTGTTATTAGTAGTTATCATCTACTGTATTGAAGTTTATCTTCTTTCGTAGTTTATGTTACTCTGAAAATATTCCGAGTCAAATATGGTGCAGATCGGGGATGTGCTGCTCAACTCGCGCCGCATAAAATTTGAACTTAAAGAAAGAGACAAAAGGTCGGTCAAATTTTAAAGAGAGAGAGAGAGAGAGAGAGTGCTAGAGAGAGAGAGAGTTGCGACTTTGCTTTAAATGTACCATAATCCATGCAGGTGCAAATTCTGGGTGCACGAATAAATGGATTATGAAATGGATAAGAACGTACATTTTAATGTAACCTCCATTAATATAAACTCAAGAAATCTCGTAGAAAGTAAAAGTTTCGGAAGGAAATGAGTAACAAATAAAACAGGAGAGAGCTGCACAAAGCACATGATTTTCTGTAAGTACCGGGAGGTCCCGATCCTAGTGTTCTTGTTTGCTTTGCGCCGATAAGTGCAGCGCAGCAAGATTCTAAGTAAGTTTTCGAGCTATTAGTCATGACTTTATCACGGTAGATTTCTCTACTTGATTAGAAAAGAAGGGGCAGACAAAGCCCGAGGGCTGCATGGGAGTATCGAATATTTTTGCGTTGCGGATGTTCTGAGAGATTTGGAGGTCGGTTTAGTGCCCAGTGACTTCTACTGCAACTTCTGCATATCTTTGTTATTGTCTGACCAGTTTGTTTCTGATGGAGGATGGATGCTTCATGTGGTAAATCTTGTCAAGTGTTCGGGTTTCACAACTCTTTCGGTTCATGCAGGGAGATACCAGCAAATGCATTCCAGTGTAAGGATCGATCCATGCATGACCTGAAGCTTGAAAGTCCAACGAGATTGAAAGACAGCTTCAGAGGATATTATGGCAGAAAGAATCATCAGAATTGTTTATGTCCAAACCCAGCTTTAGATCTTCATGTTATACACAAGCACGCAGGGCTCTTCGTCTTTCTTTCTTTTTTAATTTGGTCTTTTTTCCTGGGGAAGAAGTATCGTCAAGTATGCTTTTAAAACAGCCAAGAAGTCCTTTTTGAATTTTCCACCACTATAGGAATATATCGATATATATATATCATACTAGATATTACTGTGTTTTCAAAGTTAGGCAGGTTCGATGTTTATTCAATAAATATGTGATTAGAAATTGACTTCTGCTTCTTCTTTTTTTCTTTTTTTCTTTTTCTAGTGTTTTAAATTTGACTTTTATTTAACGTGAATAGCTGTGATCTTTCCAAATATTCAAATATTGTATTATAAGATTCTTTTCAATTTCGAAATTTAGAATGAAAGGCTTTAAGAAAAAAAAGCTTTTGCAAGACAGACAAATATACCCTAAATTAAATCCTACTCCTATGCAATATGACAAGATTGGACAGAAGAATTTCTACTATAATTTGTATTCGATAACTATTTCATATTGGGTTATGACAACTATTTAAGGAACATTAATAACTACATCCCAAGCCCAAGCATGAGCTCTGCACGCTTATAATAATTTTTCATTAAGCAAGCGCTCTGCACGTGTATAATAATTTTTCATTCTCTTGATAAGATTAAGAGTATTCAACGAATAATTATCTGAGTGATCATTTTATTTTTATCTAAAAAAAAGGATGTAATGAAACTTGTTATTTTATATAAGTGAGGAAAGAGGTGGGTTAAATGAGCAACGAAAAATTGCTTTTTTTTTTTAGAGTGAATTTAGAAGAAGGGCATAAGTGAAAAGTGGAACAATTATTTTTTGTAATCTTGAACAGGAATGGTCATCATGCATTACCATTTGGCCCTGCTTAATTGTAATATTTTACGGATCACTATGGTCATTTTAATTTAGACACCAAGTTTGAAAATTGGTTTAGAGCCATCATTCTCACTAATTTCAAGTGATCATTTTGAAGTATCTATGACATTTAGATTAATTTTACATCTTCTTAATTTAAATAATTCGTGGATTAATTACTCAATTAGAGCATGCGCTGCTCAAGTCAAGTATTGGTTTACTTAGGTTTGCCTAGGTTCATTGCTGGAGCTCCTTTATATTGGGATTTCGTATAAAGATTAACGACTAAATTGAAAAAATTAGAAAATTTAGGATTGAATTAGTATCCGTACAATAAGTTTATTACAGTTGGAGAGACAAATCCCAATTGCTATCAGTATATCATGCTTAGCAATCAAAATACTTTGGACAATATTGTCCCCGCTTCAGTCCCCGGAACAAATACGCCGACAGAGATAAATCCCAATGGCCATCAGCTAGGAGACAGGTGGCCACATCAGCGACGGCGAATCTTCCTTCCTTCCTTTCCTTTCCTTCGCTTTTGCTTGATATACATCGCCGGCCTCGTCAGCTCCCACTCACGCCCTCTTCAGGCGACGAAGAAGGTGAGGAAGAAGGTAAGTGCCCGCCGAAAGGTCTCTCCTTTCGCTGTTCATCATCGGCTCTTCTTTTGGGTTTTTCTGGGGCTCTCGCGGGAACGCGGGAGGTGGGTTTTGGGTTCTTGAATCGGGGTTGATTGTGTTGGTCGTTTGCGATTCGAATCTGCGTTTGTGGGTGTGTGTGCTGATTTTTGTTTGTTGCGTGCATAAGTCCCTTGCGAGAGGCCAATTTGTTGCGGCGAGATTCGGATCAGAGACATCAAGCATCGGGATCACGGGTTCAACAGCAGAACGTGATTGATCAGCAAAAGCGGTCGTACCCATCACAAACAACCCTTCCACAGACATCGACGAGTAAGTCCCTCTGGTAGCTGTCCTAGTTTCGTTTCGTTCTTGCTGTGTTCTCTGGCAAACAAAATATTCTTGGATCTTGAATTACGGATGAAGAGTTATTCTTCTACTTTTTGTAGTGTCTATTGATACGGGGCATCCGGCCGGGGGTGACTGGCAAGAGGAGGCTTACCAAAAGGTTTTGTGCCACCGTTTTGTTTTATTCATTGAATTTAATTGATACTTCTCATATTTTTCTACGGGTTTTACTAGTTTGTTGGTGACCGATCTTTGTTGCTGGAGTTTAGTTATATGGTTTAGTAGGATACAAAAGTACAGAAGCAGAGACGAGAGTATTTGTAGTTTTAGAAGGTCAAGCCAGGGAAAGGAATTCATTCGCAAGAGATTTTGGTTTGGAAATTGACTTGATGGCAAATAAAGCTGCGAGATGGAAATGGGTATTTGGCAACGATCCGTTGATAGTGTAATCTTATGTCTGAAGTATCAGAATGTGGGCAAGTTGCATAATGAACTATAGTTTGGGGGTAGTAGTATAGCCTTGTGCAGTAACCGGTATGACAATAACAACTGCTGAACAGGAGCCAATTCCATTGCTAGAAGTTGTAGAACATCATACATTATGGTGACGGGACTTTTTCTCATAGAAATTTGAAAGCCCTTGAGTGGAATTTGGTTGGCCAATTCTTTACATAGCGTAGTGTGGACAGGTGCTTATGGTTTCTAAACCTTGGAATCCCTTCACCAAAGGCGAATTTCTAATCATGTAGTGACTACAGGCCAGTCGCATTAACATGTATCTAACAATTCTTGTTATGAGAAACTGCAATGTCTAGCCAAGCTTATATTTTGTGAGGATCAGGTATCGATAATGATGCTATTAATCTATAAGTTAAGCATGAGAAGCTGCCAAAGATTATGAAGAGGGAAAAAGAGCAGTTTTGTGCAATGGAAAGAGAAGTCATTTAACTACTGAATCGTGTTTACTTAAGAAAGTTTCCACATTGTGTTAAGATTGCTTTTTTTTCTTTATCAAGGAGCTGTAAAAATAATACCATTGATACGGCTTAATGCGGAAAAGAAATTACAATAATTTTGTCCGTGTCAGTTAATTTCCTTTTCCAGTTTTACTTGCTTTTTTTTAATGTTATCCAGGTGGCGGTCGGTGTCCTGATGAACAGTAGCTTATGCAAGGTCCTAATCTTTTTGTTTCTTCGTACTTGGCTTCTTGTATAAATGACACCCATGCGGTCTAGTCTTATATAAGAGTTGAGCTTTATTAGACCTGTCAAAATGGGTCATAAACCCATTTCTTAACCCATATATTAGTAAATGGGTCATAAATGGGTTAGTTATATTTAGTAAATGAGTCATAAATGGGTAGAAGTCTAATATTAGTATTAAATGGGTCATAAATGGGTCGTAAATGGGTCGTAAATGAGTTTACAACTGATTTAAACTCAACTCATCTCTCTCACCCTTACTCAACCTTGCGCTCACTCACTTCGCACTCTCATCTCAGTTTGGGTATGAATTTTCCTAGATTTAATTAAATATGGAAGTGTTTTAGCAATATGGGTATGATCGGGTATGGGTTGGGTATGGGTCGGGTATGGGTCGGGTCAGGTATGGGTCAAGAAAATTGCATTACGCATAAATGGGTCATAAATGGGTTAATGGGTCAATTTGGGTCGGACCATTTATGACCCGACCCAAACCCGACCCGACCCACCCATTTGACAGGTCTAAGCTTTATTTAGATATCTATTGTGAGCCCTAACATGTGACTATCTGTTTCCAGTAATCTGAAAATGCTGAAGTCATTTTGTCCTCTCCTTCATTCTTCTTCCCGCTCCTTATCTCATGTTTCTTTGCTCTTGGAAGACAATTATAGTCGAAAATTTATAGATCATATGATAATTAGCCATGGGGAAATACTATCGGTGGAACTTCCTTTTAGTTGTCTGCCGGTAATGTGAGTGTTGGTAGTTTTTTTTCTGATTAAGTATTGAAAGACATATGTTATTTGATTTGTAGAAGAAAACGACCCAGGAGGAGTTTGTATTGATCAATAGACTACTTATTTTTCTTGCAGATCAAATCCATGAGGGAAGCATATTTACCTGAATTGAATGACATGTACCAGAAAATCTTTATGAAGGTACAGCAGGTATATAAAGAAAGTCTGTTATTGAGAACATTCCGATAGCGCTGTTGAGAAAGTTATTGCTTACTTTTGATTCTTTCCTAATGATGTTACATGGAGTAAACATTTCTTAAGAAAGGCAGCATATATAATTGATCTATAAATCTTTGATTGATGTATCATCCTGTTCAATCTCTTTCTTATTACTTGTTATTCTTATACATTGCCAGCACGAGTCTCTTTCACAACAGCCAAAGTCAGAGCAGCTTGAAAAATTGAAAGCTTTTAAAGGGATGTTGGAGCGCTTAATTACTGTTTTGCAAGTTACCAAAGCTGATATAGGGCCTACTTTCAAGGAGAAGCTGGTTCATTATGAGAGACAGATAATAAACTTTATAAACACAAGCAGGCCCAGGAAAGTAGCTATGCAGCAAGGGCAACTTCCCCCTCCTCATATGCAAATGCAGCAGCAGCAGCAATTGCAACCTCAAATTACTCAAGTGCAGTCACATGAAAATCAAATGAACCTTCAGTTGATCGATGAATTTACAAGGCTGTGTAGCATCAATGCAGCTGAATCCGGAGCATTTGACTTGCCTTAAGAAGGAGAAACATCCCAAATTAGAGTTGATCTTCAAGAAATAGCCCAAAGGCCTTCCAACTTCCAACTCTGGAATGCGGCTTGCGATCTGCTGTTATTAGTAGTTATCATCTACTGTATTAAAGTATATCTTCTTTCGTAGTTCTATGTTACTCTGTGAATATTTCGAGTCGAATATGGTGCTGTTGAAAGAAAAAAACTGGATTGAGTGCTTGCCTAGGTCTATATGACCCTAAGTTTTTTATTTATAATAAAGGCAAAATGTCAAAATTACAATATTACCCTTATTACTGTAATAGGTATGTGATTAGAATTGACTTTTGCTTCTTCTTCTCTTTTTTGCCTTTTGTAGTGTTTTAAATTTGACTTTTACCTAAATGTGAATAGTTATAATCTTTACAAATATACGAATTTTGTGTATTTATGGTCATTATAGAAATTCTTTTCTATTTTGAAATTTAGAACAAAGGCTATAAAAAAAAGGCTTTTGCAAGACGGACAAAAATACCCTGAATTAAATCCTACCCTAACGCAATATGACAAGATTAGACAGAAGAATTTCTACTATAGTTGATATTGGATAATTATTTCATATCGGGTTATGACAACTATAACTAATAATTACATCTCAAGCACGCACTAAGCAAATGTCCACATATTTTCTTTCTCTTGATATGATTAAGAGGATTCGACGAATAATTTTGAGTGATAGTTTTATTATTAATTGAAAAAGGATGTAATGAAACTTGCTATTTTCAAAGGGTGAAGAGAGAAGTGGGTTACATGAGAAGTGAAAGATTGCTATTTTTTAAGAGTGAAGTGAGAAGTAGGGCATAAGTGAAAAATTTGAACAATTTTTTTTTATAATCTTGAGCAGGAACAATTATTACGGGTTTCATTTTAATATTTTAAGGATCACTATGGTCATTTTAGATTGGACACCAAGTCTGAAAGTTGGTTTAGAGCCCTTGCCACTTTCGAGCAGCGATGAGTATGATTTGGGTGGGCAATTCCCACCTAGAAATCGGGAGCTGCCCACTCAGGACTGATTCCAAAAAATTGAAATTAGAAACCGTCCATTGGTTCTATGAACCCACTTGGAAATCGGATCAGACCACCGATCGGGTTCCTAGTTGAGTCCATGGAATCGGTCCCACCAAGCTTCTCCGGACAAATAAAAAAATGATAAGAGAAAAGAGCATGTTATATTGATCTTTTCTTGCCCTCTGCAACTTTTCAAACTTCCGCACGACATACTGCAATCCTCAAGGAGCTCTCATTTAAGCTAACAAATTAAATGAGGCTAAGACCCTCAAAAACAATGATGCAATGTAAATAACTTTCGCTGAAAGTGAACTAAATTATATATATCGATCTGGGTAGGCGGTTCCATGCCCAAAATCGGCAACTGGACCAGTCTCCATGGGAACTGCTAGTTCTGGAGTGTTCGGTCCAGTCCGATTTCGGGTGGTCGGACGATTCTCGGTTTCTTTGCACACTGATCATTCTGAAGTATCTATTACATCTAGATTAATTTCCCATTTTGTTAATTAAAGTAGAATCGGTGGATTAATTACTCAATTAAAGCATGCGCTGCATAAGTTAATTAGCATGTAACTTGGGCTTGCCCACGCTCGTTGTTGAGCTCCTTTAATATTCTGAAAATGGGAATATCACCCAATCAATCCTAAATTTATTGTACATATGCTAATTTAATCTTGATTTTTTTTAATTTTATCAATTTAATCCTAAACCTTTGCGTGAAATTATCATTTCAATCAATTTACGCCAAAAATTGCTGACGCTGGGGTCCAGCTATCGCCGGTCATCCTACATGGCACATCGTCACGTTAGCGATTTTCGACGAAAATTAGTCGGAATTAAGTGTAGCCGTTTAGGACCGTATTGGCAATATTGAAAAATTTAAGATTAAATTGGCATATATACTATAAGTTTACTCCAATTCAAGACTCCGAATCACATTATGCTGGAAAAGTATCAATGCTCAAGGTTAAATTTATAATTTAGGGGGAAAATTTCAAATGAAGGCATGAAATGAAGCCGTTTTCTAAAAATAAGACCCATAGTGGATCTTGTCTCAAATATGGTCAAGGCCCGCTAAAGCTTCATCGATGTACTTATTTTGGCGGCTAGATTATAAGCAATTTTGTCTAAAACGTTATGAAGCATGTTCTTTCCATAGTTCCCTACCCAGGCCGCCGGCATCTCGCGATTGATGCCAGAGAAGGTGAACCTGCACACCTGCGTCGTCGCTGAGAGTGCACCAATCTTTCGATCAGTCTCATCATCTTGGTGATATTCATAAAGCAGCCGAGGAGCTTGCTGGTGAAGGTGTGGCTGCCGGCGACGGCGATAGTGGGGCTAGTGGTGGTTGGGTTGGGTTACACCAGGCCAGCGATGAACCCGGCGAACGCGTTTGGATGGGCGTACATGAACAACTGGCACAACATGGGGGAGCAATTCGAGTACTGGATTTCCCAATTTGCAAGTGCGGTTTTGGAGGGTTGGGCATTCAAGCTCTTGTTAAAGCCAAGGATTTGAGATAAGATCTAGTCTGGTCCCTTTTTCTAAAAAAATGATTCCACTTCATGTTCTCACTTGGAATTTTTCTTAAATTAGCTCGTCAATATTCTCTAATCTACTTGGAATTTCGAGCTTTATGCTCGAAAAGCAATGGGCCGAGCTCGAACCCGATCCATGTTGCGACCCGGCCCGACCGGTTTTCCGACGAAGGTCCGAGGCAAAGCCACGTTACGGCACGACAAAAACGAGGACACAGGTGGCCACGTCAGTGAATCTTCTTGTTCTTCTTTCTTTCGCCTTGTTTTGTCTTTTGTATATCAACGACCTCGTCAGCTCTTTACAGCAAACATAGTCGAAATCAATCCACCCTCTTCAGGCGAAGAAAATAAGTTAAAAAAAGCAGGCCAATTTGTTGCAGCGAGGTATGCATCGGGATCACTAGCTCAACAACAGAATTTGATTGATCAGCAAAAGCAGTTGTACCCATCACAAACACCCCTTCCAGAGGCATCGACAAGTAAGTCTCTCTGGTAACTGTCCTAGTTTCGTTTCTTTCTTGCTGTGTTCTCTGGCAAACAAAATATTCTTGGATCTTGAATTATGGATGAAGAGTTATTCTTCTACTTTTGTAGTGTCTTTTGATAGCTCTGCCCAGAGGGGGCATTCGGCCGGGGGTGACTGGCAAGAGGAGGCTTACCAAAAGGTTTTGTGCCACAGTTTTGTTTTATTCATTGACTTTTATGGAATGCATGAATTATGCGTGATACTTCTCGTATTTTTCTACGGGTTTTACTAGTTTGTTGGTGACCGATCTTTGTTGCTGGACTTTAGTTATATGATTTAGTAGGATACAAAAGTAAAAAGAACAGATCCTTACCAAAAAAAAAAAAAAAGTAAAAAGAACAGATGAGAGTATTTGTAGTTTTATAAGGTCAAGCCAGGGAAAGGAATTCATTCGCATGAGATTTTGGTTTGCAAATTGACTTGATAGAAAATATAGTTGTGAGACAGAAATGGGTATTCTGCAACGAACTGTTGATAGCGTAATCTTATGTCCGAAGTATCAGAATGTGGGCAAGTTGCATAATGAACTATAGTTTGGGGGTAGTAGTATAGCCTTGGGCAGTAACCTGTATGACAATAACAACTGCTGAACAGGAGCCAGTTCCATTGCTAGAAGTTGTAGAACATCATACATTATAGTGATGGGACTTTTTCCAAGAGAAATTTGAAAGCCCTTGAGTGGAATTTGGTTAGCCAATTCTTTGCGTAGTGTAGTGTGGACAGGTGCTTATGGTTTCTTTTGAGTGGAATTTGGTTAGCCAATTCTTTACGTAGTGTAGTGTGGACAGGTGCTTATGGTTTCTTAACCTAGGAATCCCTTCACCAAAGGTGAATTTCTAATTATGTAGTGACTCCAGGCCATTCGAATTAACATGTATCTAACAATTCTTGTAATGAAAAACTGCAGTGTCTAGCGAAGCTTAAATTTTGTGAGGATCAGGTATCGATAATGATGCTATTAATCTATAAGTTAAGCATGAGAAGCTGCCAAAGATTATGAAGAGGGAAAAAGAGCAGTTTTGTGCAATGGAAAGAGAAGTCATTTAACTACTGAATCGTGTTTACTTAAGAATGTTTCCACGCTGTGTTAAGATTGCTTTTTTTTTTCTTTATCAATGAGCTGTAAAAGATTATACCATTGATACGTCTTTATGCAGAAAAGAAATTGCCATAATTTTGTCCGTGTCAGTTAATTTCCTTTTCCAGTTTTACTTGCTTTTTTTTAATGTTATCCAGGTGGCGGTCGGTGTCCTGATGAACAGTAGCTTATGCAAGTTGCTAATTTTTTTTTTCTTTGTACTTGGCTTCTTGTATAAATGACACCGATGCGGTCTAGTCTTATATAAGAGTTGAGCTTTATTTAGATATCCATTGTGAGTCCTAACATGTGAATATCTGTTTCCAGTAATCTGAAAATGCTGAGTCATTTTGTCCTCTCCTTCATTCTTCTTCCCGCTCCTTATTTCATATTTCTTTGCTCTTGGAAGACGATTATAGTCGAAAATTTATAGATCATATGATAATTAGCCATGGGGAAATACTATCGGTGGAACTTCCTTTCAGTTGTCTGCCATTAATGGGAGCGTGGGTAGTTTTTTTCTGAATAAGTATTGAAGGGTATGTGTTATTTGATTTGTAGAAGAAAATGACCCAGGAGGAGTTTGGATTGATCAATAGACTACTTATTTTTGTTGCAGATGAAATCCATGAGGGAAGCATATTTACCTGAATTGAGTGAGATGTACCAGAAAATCTTTATGGAGATACAGTAGGTATGTAAAGAAAGTCTGTTATTGAGAACATTCCAATAGAGCTGTTGAGAAAGTTATTGCTTAGTTTTGATTCTTTCCTAATGATGTTACATGGAGTAAACATTTCTTAAGAAAGGCAGCCAATATAATTGATTTTTAAATCTTTGAATGAGGTATCATCCCATTCGATCTCTTTCTGATCACATGTTATTCTTATACATTGCCAGCACAAGTCTCTTCCACAACAGTCAAAGTCAGAGCAGCTTGAAAAATTGAAAGCTTTTAAAGGGATGTTGGAGCGCGTAATTGCTGTTTTGCAAATTAACAAAGCTGATATTGTGCCTAGTTTGAAGGAGAAGCTGGTTCATTACGAGAAACAGATAATAAACTTTATAAACGGAAGCAGGCCCAAGAAAGTAGCTATGCAGCAAGGGCAACTTCCAGTTCCTCATATGCAAATGCAGCAGCAGCAATCGCAACCTCAAATTACTCAAGTGCAGTCACATGAAAATCAAATGAACCCTCAGTTACAATCAATGAATTTACAAGGTTCTGTAGCATCAATGCTGCAGAACAACATGGGAAATTGGCATTATAATTTTATGTCTTCTTTGTCTGGGGTTTCAAATGCACAGCAAACCATGATTCAACAGCAACCTGCACAATTGCAGCAGCAAGTGGGCCTGCAACAACAGGCCAATTTATTGCAGCGAGATATGCATCAGAGACTTCAAGCATCGGGATCATTGTTTCAACAGCAGAATGTGATTGATCAGCAAATGCAGTTGTACCCGTCTCAAACACCCCTTTCAAAGACGTCGACAAGTAAGTCTCTCTGTTAACTGTCCTAGTGTTTTTCTCCTTCTATGTTCTCTGGCAAACAAAATATTATTAGATCTTAAATTATAGATGAAGAGTTATTCTTCTACTTTTGTAGTGTCTATTGATAGCTCTGCCCAGATGGGGCATTCGGCCAGGGGTGACTGGCAAGAGGAGGCTTAACAAAAGGTTTTGTGCCACAGTTTTGGTTTATCATTGAATTTTTTGGAATGCATGTATTATGTGTGATACTTCTTGTATTTTTCTACGGGTTTTACTAGTTTGTTGGTGACTGATCTTTGTTGTTGGACTTTAGTTATAGTTGCTGGACTTTAGTTATATGGTTTAGTAGGATACAAAAGTAAAAGAACAGATGAGAGTATTTGTAGTTTTATAAGGTCCAGCCAGGGAAAGGAATTCATTCGCATGAGTTTGGAAATTGACTTGATAGAAAATATAGCTGTGAGACAGAAATGGGTATGCGGCAACGAACTGTTGATAGCGTAATCTTATGTCCAAAGTATCAGAATGTGGGCAAGTTGCATAATGAACTATAGTTTGGCGTTAGTGGTATAGCCTTGTGCAGTAACCGGTATGACATTAACAACTGCTGAACAGGAGCCAATTCCATTGCTAGAAGTTATAGAACATCATACATTATGGTGACGGAACTTTTTCTTAGAGAAATTTGAAAGCCCATGAGTGGAATTTGGTTAGCCAATTCTTTACATAGTGTAGTGTGGACAGGTGCTTATGGTTTCTTAACCTAGGAATCCCTTCACCAAAGGTGAATTTCTAATTATGGAGTGACTCCAGGCCACTCGAATTAACATGTATCTAACAATTCTTGTTATGAAAAACTGCAACGTCTAGTGAAGCTTATATTTTGTGAGGATCAGGCCTCGATAATGATGCTATTAATCTATAAGCTAAGCATGAGAAGCTGCCAAAGATTATAAAGAGGGAAAAAGAGCAGTTTTGTGCAATGGAAAGAGAAGTCATTTAACTGCTGGATCGTGTTTACTTAAGAATGTTTCTGCGTTGTGTTAAGATTGCTTTTTTTTCTTTATCAAGGAGCTGTAAAAGATAATACCATTGATACGTCTTAATGTGGAAAAGAAATCACCATAATTTTGTCTCTGTCAGTTAATTTCCTTTTCCAGTTTTACTTGCCTTTTTTTTAATGTTATCCAGGTGGCGGTCGGTGTCCTCATGAACAGTAGCTTATGCAAGTTGCTAATCTTTTTTGTTCTTCGTACTTGGCTTCTTGTATAAATGACACCGATGCGGTCTAGTCTTATATAAGAGTTGAGCTTTATTTAGATATCCATTGTGAGTCCTAACATGTGACTATCTGTTTCCAGTAATCTGAAAATGCTGAAGTCATTTTGTCCTCTCCTTCATTCTTCTTCCTGCTCCTTATTTCATGTTTCTTTGCTCTTGGTAGACGATTATGGTTGAAAATTTATAGATCATATGATAATTAGCCATGGGGAAATACTATTGGTGGAACTTCCTTTCAATTGTCTGCCAATAATATGAGTGTGTGTAGTTTTTTTCTGAATAAGTATTGAAAGATATATGTTATTTGATTTGTAGAAGAAATAAACCCAGGAGGAGTTTGGATTGATCAATAGACTACTTAGTTTTGTTGCAGATGAAATCCATGAGGGAAGCATATTTACCTGAATTGAATGAGATGTACCAGAAAATCTTTATAAAGATACAGCAGGTATGTAAAGAAATTCTGTTATTGAGAACATTCCAATAGAGCTATAGAGAAAGTTATTGCTTAAATTTTGATTCTTTCCTACTGATGCTACATGGAGTAAACATTTCTCAAGAAAGGCAGCCAATATAATTGATTTTTAAATCTTTGAATGATGTATCATCCCGTTTGATCTCTTTTTGATCACATGTTATTCTTATATATTGCCAGCATGAGTCTCTTCCACAACAGCCAAATTCAGAGCAGCTTGAAAAATTGAAAGCTTTTAAAGGGATGTTGGAGCGCGTAATTGCTGTTTTGCAATTTGACAAAGCTGATATAGTGCCTAGTTTGAAGGAGAAGCTGGTTCATTACGAGAAACAGATAATAAACTTTATAAACGGAAGCAGGGCCAGGAAAGTAGCTATGCAGCAAGGGCAACTTCCAGCTCCTCATATGCAAATGCAGCAGCAGCAATTGCAAACTCAAATTACTCAAGTGCAGTCACATGAAAATCAAATGAACCTTCAGTTACAATCAATGAACTTACCAGGTTCTGTAGCATCAATGCAACAGAATAACATGGGAAATTGGCATCATAATTTTATGTCTTCTTTGTCTGGGGTTTCAAATGCACAGCAAACCATGATTCAACAGCAACCTGCACAATTGCAGCAGCAAGTGGGCCTGCAACAACAGGCCAATTTATTGCAGCGAGATATGCATCAGAGACTTCAAGCATCGGGATCATTGTTTCAACAGCAGAATGTGATTGATCAGCAAATGCAGTTGTACCCATCACAAACACCCCTTTCAGAGACACCGACAAGTAAGTCTCTCTGGTAACTGTCCTAGTTTTGTTTCTTTCTTGCTATGTTCTCTGGCAAACAAAATATTATTAGATCTTAAATTATAGATGAAGAGTTATTCTTCTACTTTTGTAGTGTCTATTGATAGCTCTGCCCAGATGGGGCATTCGGCCAGGGGTGACTGGCAAGAGGCGGCTTACCAAAAGGTTTTGTGCCACAGTTTTGTTTTATTCATTGAATTTTATGCAACGCATGTATTATGCGTGATACTTCTCGTATATTTCTACAGGTTTAACTAGTTTGTTGGCGACTGACCCTTGTTGCTGGACTTTGGCTATAGTTGCTCGACTTTAGTCGTATGGTTTAGTAGGATACAAAAGTAAAAAGAACAGATGATAGTATTTGTAGTTTAATAAGGTCAAGCCAGGTAAAGGAATTCATTCGCATGAGATTTTGGTTTGGAAATTGACTTGATAGAAAATATAGCTGTGAGACAGAAATGGGTATTCGGCAACGAACTGTTGATAGCGTAATCTTATGTCCAAAGTATCAGAATGTGGGGAAGTTGCATAGTGAACTATAATTTGGGGATAGTGGTATAGCCTTGTGTCGTAACCGGTATGACAAGAGGAGCCAATTCCATTGCTAGAAGTTGTAGGACATCATACATTATGGTGATGGGACTTTTTCTCAGAGAAATTTGAAAGTCCTTAGCCAATTCTTTACATAGTGTAGTGTGGACAGGTGCTTATGGTTTCTAAACCTAGGAATCGCTTCACCAAAGGTGAATTTCTAATTATATAGTGACTCCAGGCCACTCGCATTGAAATGTGTCTAACAATTCTTGTTATGAAAAACTGCAATGTCTAGCCAAGATTATATTTTGTGAGGATCAGGTGTCGATAATGATGCTATTAATCTATAAGTTAAGCATGAGAAGCTGCCAAAGATTATGAAGAGGGAAAAAGAACAGTTTTGTGCAATGGAAAGAGAAGTCATTTAACTACTGAATCGTGTTTACTTAAGAATGTTTCCGTGTTGTGTTAAGATTGCTGTTTCTTCTTTATCAAGGAGCTGTAAAAGAAAATACCATTGATACGTCTTAATGCAGAAAAGAAATTACCATAATTTTGTCCGTGTCAGTTAATTTCCTTTTCCAGTCTTAGTTGCTTTTTTTTTAATGTTATCCAGGTGGCGGTCAGCGTCTTGATGAACAGGAGCTTATGCAAGTTGCTAATCTTTTCCATTTTTCGTACTTGGCGTCTTCTATAATCAACACCGATGCAGTCTAGTCTTATATAAGAGTTGAGCTTTAGTTAGATTTCCATTGTGAGTGCTAACATGTGACTATCTGTTTCCAGTAATCTGAAAATGTTGAAGTGATTTTGTCCTCTCCTTCATTGTTCTTCCTGTTCGTTATTTCATGTTTCTTTGCTCTTGGAAGACGATTATAGTCGAAAATTTATAGATCATATGATAATTAGCCATGGGGAAATACTATCGGTGGAACTTCCTTTCAGTTGTCTGCCATTAATGAGAGTGTGGGTAGTTTTTTTCTGAATAAGTATTGAAAAATATATGTTATTTGATTTGTAGAAGAAAACGGCCCAGGAGGAGTTTGGATTGATCGATAGACTACTTATTTTTGTTTCAGATGTAATCCATGAGGGAAGCTTATTTACTTGAATTGAATGAGATGTACCAGAAAATCTCCATGAAGTTACAGCAGGTATGTAAAGAGAGTCTGTTATTGAGAACATTCCGATAGCGCTGTCGAGAAAGTTATTGCTTAATTTTGATTCTTTCCTAATGACGTTACATGGAGTAAACATTTCTTAAGAAAGGCAGCCAATATAATGGATTTTTATATCTTTGAATGATGTATTATCCAGTTCGATCTCTTTCTGATCACATGTTATTCTTATACATTTCCAGCACGAGTCTCTTCCACAACAGCTAAAGTCAGAGCAGCTTGAAAAATTGAAAGCTTTTAAAGGGATGTTGGAACGTGTAATTGCTGTTTTGCAATTTGACAAAGCTGATATAGTGCCTAGTTTCAAGGAGAAGCTGGTTCATTACGAGAAACAGATAATAAACTTTATAAACGGAAGCAGGGCCAGGAAAGTAGCTATGCAGCAAGGGTAACTTCCCCCTCCTCATATGCAAATGCAGCAGTGGCAGCAGCAATCGCAACCTCAAATTACTCAAGTGCAGTCACATGAAAATCAAAGGAACCTTCAGTTGATCGATGAATTTACCAGGTTCTGTAGCATCAATGCAGCAGAATTCGCAGCATTTGACTTGCGTTAAGAAGGAGAAACATCCCAAAATAGAGTTGATCTTCAAGAAATAGCCCAATGGCGTTCCAACTTCGAACTCTGGAATGCAGCTTGGGCTCCGCTGTTATTAGTAGTTATCATTTACTGTATTAAAGTATATCTTCTTTCGTAGTTTATGTTCTCTCAAAATATTTCGAGTTGAATATGGTGCAGATCGTGGATGTGCTGCTCAACTCGCGTCACACAGATTTTTTGCCTAAAGAAAGAGAGAGAAAAGCTTGGTCAAATTTTAAAAGGAAAAAGAAAAGAGAGAGTTGCGACTTTGCTGTAAATGTATCATAATTCATGCAGGTGCAAATTCTGGGTTCACGAAGAAATGGATTATGAAATGGATAAGAAACTACATTTTAATGTAATCTCCATATATATAAATTCAAGAGAGCACGTGGAAAGTAAAAGTTTAGGAAAGAAATGAGTAACAAAATAAACAGGAGAGATGTGCACAGAGCACATGATTTTCTGTGAGTACCGGGAGGTCCCGATCCTAGTGTTCATGTTTGCTTTGTGCCGATAAGTGCAGTGCAGCAAGATTCTAAGTAAGTTTTCGAGCTATTAGTCACGTCTTCATCGCAGTAAATTTCTCTACTTGATTAGAAAAGAAGGGGCAGGCAAAGCCCGAGGGCTGCATGAGAGTATCGAATATTGTTGCGTTGCAGATGTTATGGGAGATTTCGAGGTCGGTTTAGTGCACAGTGACTTCCGCATGCCTTTGTTATTGTCTGCATAGTTCATTTCTGTGGAGGATGGATGCTTTAAGTGGTAAATCTTGTCAAGTGTTCAGGCTTCACAGCTTTTTCGGTTCATGCAGGGCGATACCAGCAAATGCATTCCAGTGTAAAGATCGACCTATGCATGACTTGAAGCTTGAAAGTCCAACGACATTGAAAGACAGCTTCAGTGGATGTTATGGCAGAAAGCATTATAGCATGCAGGGTTCTTTCTTCTTTCTTTCTTTTTTTTATTTGTCTCTTTCCAGGGGAAGATGTATCATTCATGCTTTTAAATCAGACAAGAAGAAGTCCTTTTTGAATTTTCGGCCACTATAAGAATATATTATTCTAGATATTATTGTTTATGATTTCAAAGTTAGGCAGGTTTAATGTTTATTCAATAGATATATATGAATAGAAATTGACTTCTGCTTCTTCTTCTTTTTCCTTTTTGTATTGTTTTAAATTTGACTTTTATTTAACGTGAATACCTATAATCATTTCAAGCATACGACTATTGGGCATTTATGGTCATTATAGAAATTCTTTTCTATTTCGAAATTTAGAACGAAAGGCCATAGGAAAAGGCTTTTTAAAGACAGAAAAGCATATCCTAAATTAAATCCTACGCAATACGCTGAGATTGGACAGGAGAATTTCTACCGTAATTGGTATTCTTGTTGGTTTTTCTACGGAACATGCGCAGTTAAAATTAAATATAAACGCAGCGGAAAGATCTAACATTTCATGTATCTCCAAAGGCGTTGTTTGTATGTTTCAATAAAAAATCGGAAGATCATAGGAGTTGAATGGATTACCTCTCGTAGCTTGTCCAAAACAATTTCGATTTGAATATTCTTCAGTTCGAGCCCCATAACCGTTGGACCTCTAGTTTAGACACACCGCCAATCGCACGACGAACGGAAGAAAAAACTTGCAGGTATTACCATTATAATTGTGCTAACAATCTCATGGCGACAATCCTCCGTACTCTGGATATTTCAGTGACGGTGCCGGAAGAGAGAAAAGGTATTTTAATTCTCACGCGCACATATTGCACTCTCACTTGCACTCTTTCTTCTCACTCTTCAGCAACTGTTGTTGATCTCACTTTATTTGGGGAAAATTACCAAAAAAGTCCTAAATATTTTGCAATTGTGCCAATTCAGTCCTAAACATTTTTTTTGGCCAATTCAGTCCTAAACCTTTTACAAACCAGCCAATTCAGTCCTTTTGGCCGGCCGGCGCTGACGTGGCGGCCGGCCGGCTGATGTGGCGCCGGCCGGCGTCCACGTGGCAATATTTTAATATTTTTTATTTATTTTCGAATTTTTTTTCCTTTTTTCTTTTTTTTTTCTTTTCCTTCTCCCCCCTGGCCTGTCCGGCCAGGGGGGAGGCTCGCCGGCGAGGGCCCAGCTCCGGCGAGGCGAGTTGGGCCCTCGCCGCCGCTGGGCGAGCTCTGCCCTCGCCGCCGCTAGGCGAGCCTCGTCCAGCTCCGGCGAGGCGGAGCTCGCCATGGCTGGGCGAGCTCCGCCCTCGCCCAAATCTGGCGAGGCGGAGCTCGCCCTGCCATGACGAGCTCCGCCTCGCCAGATCTAGGCGAGGGTGGAGCTCGCCAAGCCATGGCGAGCTCGCCCAGCTCCGGCGAGGGGGAGCTCACCTTGGCTGGGCGAGCTCCGCCCTCGCCCAGATCTGGCGAGGCGGAGCTCGCCCTCGCCGCCGCTAGGCGAGCCTCGCCCAGCTCCGGCAAGTCTACTCTAGCGGGTGGGACAAACCGCCTGTTTCCTGTCATAGGCTTCTTCCCCAGACGGCGGTTGTCTCTGATTTGGGCAAACCGCGATCCAAAAGCGGCTGCTCTTTCTTGCTGGTCCCGCTCTATAATCTGTGCCCGCTCATATATTTCTCCAAAATCTTTGATATTGAGTGACAAAATCTGGCTCCGGAGATCCGGCTTCAAACCATTTCGGAATCTCCGAGCTTTGTCCCGTGGGTTCTCTACCATGGTTGGCGCGAACTTGGCCAATCTTGCAAATTCTGCTTCATACTGATCAACGGTCATCTGACCTTGGCGCAGTCGCATGAACTCCATTAACTTCCTCTCCTGGGCGACTTCCGAAAAGTACTTTCCATAAAAACTTTCGACGAACACCGCCCAATTCAACTCTGCACCTTCCGGGAATACCCTACCCCTGGTGGCTTTCCACCAATCATTCGCACCACTCTGCAACTGATACGCCGCCAACGTCACTTTCTCTGCATCGGTGCACTCCAACACCTCAAATGCCTTCTCTAATTCATCTATCCAATCTGGGGCAGTTTCGAGGTCACCCTTGCTGTTAAACTTTGGCGGCTTCATCTTCAAGAATTGCTCCACCAACTGGGGCATCTGTCTGGCTACTGCGGGTTGGGCCTGCCCTTGCTGGGCCTGATTGCCTTCGTTACCAGCAATTGGTGCGGCTTCAGCAGCCTGCGCATAAGCTGCGGCCCTTTCCTGCGCTTGCATACCCATTATGTGTCCTATTTCCCGCAGGGTATCCATCACATCGTCGAACCTTGGATCTCTAGCTTCGCGGACTCCCTCGCTAGACTGACCTTGGGGCTCTTTTCCTCTTCTCCTACTCATCCTTACGAACTCGGCTACTCAACTGCCTGCTATAATTCCACTAAGGAATTAAAGATTTAAACTAATCTATCCCAGTCTAAGTCCTAGGCAGGTATCTAACACAACAAGCTAGCACACAGCATGCGTTCCAACACAACTGACACAAACTTCACCCAAGGGGATTAGCACACTTACCTCGGGTCCTGCCGCACCTGCATTATTACGGGTCACACAATCAATTACTCAAAGCACAAACTGTCAGGAGATGTACTTAGCACATGAGGTCACCCTATGGACTACCCATGGTCTCATCTCTTCTTATCACTCCAGATTTCGACCGAAATGGACCGAGCTGACCTTGCTCTGATACCAAATCAAACGGGGATGTCACGTCCCGAACCCTCCGGCACACGAGCATCCCACCCTTGGTCGATTTTGGTGCAACGCTCCCAGGACGCGTCGCCGACCCAACACCCAAACAGAGATAAGGCACATGCGGAAGCAATAACTAAACACCCGTATAATATAAACACACGAGACCAAAGATAGAACAACAACCAAACAGGAATATACTTACAAATATACATTTTCATTTCTACAAGGAAACCTTTTTACAAAGTACTTTTTACAGATCAAAAGACACAAACACAGAAAACAGTCAACCGCCACAAGATCAAAAAGGGGCAAGTGGCTAGGGGATGATAGACCGTCTACAGGGAAGGTCACAGTCAAAAAGGTACGAGCTTCCCTTCTAAGGGCTAGGACCTATACTAGAGCTCCCAGTCCGGATCAGACTCTGAGGACTCCTCTGAAGAACTCTCCTGAGACTCAGACTCCTCGGAATCCATGTCTTCTGCCGCGGCCCTCTCATCTTCGGAGTCCGGCTCTAATTCCGGGTCGAGGTATAGTCCTATCTCCTCATCTGAGCCTAGCTCTTCAACTTCCCCATCCTCATCTGAATCTAGGTCCATGGCCTCTAGCTCATCCTCTTCGTCTGCGAACTGATCTGGGTCTTCAACTATCACCTGCGGCTCCCCATTCATTACTTCATTCTGGGCATCCCAATCATGATCATCCTGAGGATTTATCACCTCACCATCCGCAACTATAGGCTCCATCATGCCATTTCCGTCAAGTGGGGCGTTGAAGGTCTTGAGAGGCCGGCCTATGTTCCCATCAACGTCTCGAAGACACCAAGCAATGTACTCCTGGGTCTTATAGAAGTATTCGCTCACGTTCACAAAAAGTACCGATCGATACCTTACATAAGCTTCCCCATTGCCAGAGGGAAATACGTTGGTCGACCGCTGAATTTGTGTCGGAATCCCAAAAAGTGTAGGTAGTTTCGGCATGATCAGGGACGGGGGTTTGAAAAGTTTACCCTTAGGCCCAGATCACTCACCTCACTGACCCTGCAGGTTAGGCATTTCAATATAATAATCAAGTCACGTACGCGAACACACTATCCATACGTACGCCATACGCATGCTCATGCTCAATAGTGTTCGTTTCGCATGCCATTCACCGAGTCTCACACGCTCGCACACTGGCCCATGCATTCTTATGCATGCAAATGTCATCATCATGCCATGTTTCATTCTGGCTCACACTGCACACTGGCTCAATGCTCAATTATCAAATTAATACGACCCGCGTAAAACGCATCAGGTCTCTTTCTTAAATCACAACACTTCGTGGCCCGCGTAAAACGCATCTCCGGCCCAGTGTCTCTAGCCTGCTTCAAAGTGCATGAGGCGCAACACCGATCTCCTCATGAACCAGAGCCCGCGTAAAACGCATCTCCGGCCCAGTGTCTCTAGCCTACTTCAAA